ACAGTACATAAAAAAACTACACGGAAACGAGAACTAAACAAATCTTGGAAATCATCATGGGATGCCTATGATCTTATTGCTGAAATTATGAAGATGAAACAGATCTTATGAAGTTTACTTTTATTTTATTTTATCTGCAATTAACTTTATCATCTGATTTTTTTTATTTTATTTTAATTACACAGGTTTTATACCATAGTACGTAATTAAATAGTTAAGTAACAATAAACATAATAACAACATATTAAAGACTAAAGAGAACACTGCTCACAAAAGGATTGACAAGTTGACAATATTTTGTGCCAAGGGTCCGAAAATATGTCACTTTGAGTGTAGTCATCCAGGAGTGCATTCGGCAGAGTGGGGACTCGGCGTGCGCTACCGTGCGGCTTGGCGGCCGGGCGTTGATGATGTTTTGTTTCTGTACAATATTGTCACACATGTTCTGTAAATAAAAACATGTTTATCTTAATTCCAGGTGCCTACCCGCCGGACCTGTCGCTGATCTGCTCGGGCCGCAAGGGCGGCGAGGACTACATCTTCGCGCTGCTGACGGGCTACATGGAGGCGCCTGCCGGCATCGCGCTGCGCGAGGGACAGAACTACAACCCCTACTTCCCCGGGGGAGCCATCTCGATGGCGCAAGTGTTGTTCGACGAGGTGAGTGCAGACTAGACGCTCGCCTGCCCGCCGCCTGTCGCTGGTCTGCTCGGGACTACATCTTCGCGCTGCGCGAGGGACAGAACTACAACCCCTACTTCCCCGGGGGAGCCATCTCGATGGCGCAAGTGTTGTTCGACGAGGTGAGTGCAGACTAGACGCTCGCCTGCCCGCCGCCTGTCGCTGGTCTGCTCGGGACTACATCTTCGCGCTGCGCGAGGGACAGAACAAAAGTCCGGTCGCCGAGCCGATAGAATTTCGTCCAATAACCCCAAGCTACCCATCCTTATCGCTCGCGCGAATTATATTCAGTGAGTGTGTGAGCGCGACAGCAATAGAAAACTGTGAGCTGAGATTGATAAAATAATGCAAAGGCAAGGCAAATACACTCATGAGAAAAATATCAAAACCATTCTCTTTTACTGTATAGAGTAGACTAATATTGTGTAATCTTGTACATACATACATTGTTTGCTATGAATAATTGATGTTAAAGTTGTTTCAACCAGAAGTCAATTTAATGTATTGACCTACAGACTACAGAGCTGTCTCTGCAACTTACTGTTATTTTATTTTCTACATAAACTTCAACATAAATGAATGCTTTGTACATACCTATTCCACTGTAAGACCGCAGCTGAATTTTGCGCCCCCTGCCGCATACCAAACGTTAAAATGGCTGACGGGGTTTTTGTATTATTGGGTTGTATTCGCCATTCTGGTCCCCAAAAGTAACAGTCTCTAAAGGTACTTGCTGTGAAAACAAGTCGCCTGGCTGACGAAATTCTTTTCTTAAGACAAAATTATTACCGATTTTGAAATGAATTGAATATTATGTTGTCCTCAGGCGGCGGAATACACCGACGGCACGACGCCGACGGCCTCCCAGCTCGCCAAAGACGTAGCCACGTTCCTGCGGTGGTGCTCGGAGCCCGAGCTGGACGACCGGCGGCTCATGACCATCAAGGCCATCGGCATGTTCTCCATGCTCGCCGCCGTCGTCTACTACTTCAAACGGCACAAGTGGTCCTCCATCAAGTCCAGAAAACTAGCCTACAAACCCGTCTCTAAGAAATAAAACGCCGCAGAAATATGTAGTATAAAACAAACGTTTTAGACACTTTTTTTTTCGATAGGCACAGTAATATGTTATTTGTTTATAATTAAATTAATTTATTTTATACACCACGCGTTTATTTCTGACCTCCGGTCGCTGAACGATGTTATCATGTGGTCTGCGTTGTGTCTTTTGATGCAACTAACTTAATGTAATGGTAATAGAGCAATTACGTCGCGTATTTGATTAGCACAGTCAAATTATAAACTAGGTGAACTTATCTGTGCTTGTGATGTTCCATGGAAGTTATTAACTGTGAATCAGTGTACAGTTGAATAAATGAGTTAATAAAATCGACTTTGATTCGTCTTTTAATGTTTCTCCTCTAAAGAATTTCCTCCTTTATCCTGGTTACTTTAATCCTAATTTTCCAAAATAATTACAAATACTAGCGACCCGTCCTGACTTCGTACGGGTAGATATATGTATTATTTAAAAAAAAATACGAAACCTAAATAAACAAACATGAAAATCGATCCAGCCGTTCTCGGCTTTTAATAAGTGTTCGAACGAACCCGACTTCTGTCTTGTATTGCTAACGAATGAAAAGAGGTCCTAGGTTAGACATGGTTCCACCGCTGATTAAGTGGACCTAAACCAAATTTATGCGAATGTGTAACAGCAGAAACTACTTTTATCGCTAGATATTTGCTTTAAATCAATACATTCTTCGTCTGTAGCCTATGGAGGAATACCAACCACAGATGAGAGAGTACCTACCAACTTTGATAAATACTAGAAGAGACCAACATCTGTCATCTCAAAAATAGTCCAAGCTGGGGATAATATCAACCGTTTAAGGGTCGTCTTAAGACTACTCTTCTTTTTGCAGTCGGATAAAATCAGAGTAGGAACCGGAACCGGATATCAACTAGGAACTAGGTACTTAATGCGATTGGTGCACACAAAATTGAGTGATGAGCTGTAAAACGCATTTTAATTAAGTTTTTTGTACGGTTAAATTTGATTATGTATTTCTATAAAACAATAAAATTTTATTGCAATAAATAAATTTAATGGGATGCGTTTTGTTGAACTGAAAAATGTTTGACAGTTCAATCAACAACAAGTCCCAGCTGACTTTGACATTTTTGTTTGTCATTTTACTCTTGTCTGTCAGTATTTATTTCGCAAAACTAACAAAAATAAAGTGAATAAACGTGATATTTCGTGATATATCTTCCTCAAAATGAACGCTATTATTGGCCTGTGTCATTTCTGTGAAGCACATGGTCCCAGGCCATTGTTTTGTACGTTTACAACTGACGACGAAAATCATACGAAGGAATCTTCAAAATCTACTGTAGAATGCACGGGATGTTCTTCTCTCGGTTCGGAGACCATACTCGTGTCACGAGACGACGACGGCACGATATTCTGCAGTAGAGAATCTGTAGTAAATGCGGACGTAACTACCTTTCTACGACAGGCAGCTATCAGAAGTATCACCTGTGAAGTAAGTCGTATTAGCTACGCTTTAATTTGTGGGATCATGCGCACCTACATAACTTATTCTTTGTACCAAACGCTCTCCTAGTTGATACGAGCGTTAGTCTAATCTTCACTTGAAACTGCTTGCAGGTGAGTTGGAGCAAAGAAGGTGGAGTGGTATACTTCAGTGACACACAGGGACATGTCCTAAGCCTGACATTCCAGCTGAAAGATACTCGCGCTCGCGGTCTGAAGCGCTGGTTCTCAATAGTCGTGCTCATGAAGGACAAGATGCTGCTACTAAATCTCATGCCAGTTCTGTCTGAACACATGCAGGTTAAAATCCAACCCTTCACCACTCTTTCTTCATTCATAACCTCTGTCTTCCTGAAACATTTTGGAATTAAGCTGTTGTTTGTTTCTAGAAAATATCAAAAGAGCTACAAGATTCAGCTGAAACTGTATACAACAATGAACAAAAGATATGCTCCCAGAGGGCTTTGAGGTTGAAAACTGGAAGGAATGATTTTGGCCAGTCTAGGTCACTGAAACAACTAACAGGTAAAAATATACTTAAATTAAAATGAAGCATTGTGATTGTGTGAGCTGGAATTATTCTAAAATTTACTATTTTTCAGGTGATGAAGAAGTATTCAAGAGACTTCACTCACACTTCACATGGATGCTAAAGGCTGGGGCTCTGACATACTCAGAGACTTTGTACACAAGCCATGACCTACTTAATAAACTCAACCCTCAAATGGTCAAGAACTCAATATTTGATGCACAAGTCTGTGAAATCCCAAGCGAAGAAAACTGTATTGATTTGAGAGCATTAGAAAATATGCTATCTAAATCTGTATTCAGAATACTACTGTACTGTACATTGATGGGAATCAATGTAAGTGTTAATTTCTTATCTTTATTTACTAAATCCTTGAAAAATCCTGAAGTACCTTCATATTTGTTTCAGATTGAAATAAAACCTAACATTGAAGAAGCCAGTGTTATCACTAATGGATTGAAAAGATGTGTACCTATAGATGTTGAAAACCCTAATGTAAGAAATGTGAACCAAAAAATACCTGCAAAGGATAAAAGCAGTGTCTGTATTTTAGAAAAAACTGATAATAGTAACTATTGCTGTAATTGGTCTGGAAGTTTACCTAGTAAATGTCCTAAAATAATGATAAGAATAGAAAATGCAATGGATAATTCAAGCTTCAATGATGCAGTGCTCCATCAACATATAAAATCCTTATTATTAGAATGGCTTGGGTAAGTTTAGTGGCAAATGCAATGTTTTACATGTACCTGCATATAATATTCATTTACTTTTCTGATGTTTTCAGAACAGCAAAAGCAGTCAAGTCTGCAATAGAATCATCAGGGCCAAAATCAGAAGCAGTTGCCAACCTGAAAAAGGTGTTTGGTCTATCACCTCAAGATGACTTATTGATAAGCTATTGGATCAGTGCTTATTGCTGATGAATCTCAAAACTTACAAGTGCTGTCTAAAAGCCTATTTGCAGAAAATAAAGTTGTGTAGTTTAGCCATGTAAGAATAAATCTGTGATATTACAAGTGTTAACTTCTTGTATTACTTGCCTAGCACACTCACTATTTTATTTTAGTAAGCAAAATGTTAAAATATCATTAGTATGACAGTGACAATCTTGGACAAATTAATTTCCTAATGTATCAGATTAGACGAGGAATGCTACTATTCTGACTCATATTAGTTTACCTAACAGTACTCTTCCGCTCATTTCGTCAAAAATAAAACCAAAAGTAATTTTGTAGTCCTTATATTAAAGATTACACGTTGGAGCGGCGGCTGGGTCTTGCGCGCTCGTGTCCCTTGGAGCGCACGTAGGGCTTCGTGTGAGAACGCGGCGCCCCAGGCGCGGGCCCGAAGTGGCGCACGGCCTCGCGAGCGTTGCGTTGACCCTGCACTAGGACTGTCTTGCGGCCGGTGGGGGCACGGAGAGCCAGCTGGTCGAAGGTTAAGATTTCTCCTGCAAAGACGAGTCAAAGTTAAAACTATGAGGTCCACCAATTTGACATTTTGGAGAAATAAAAAGCTTCTAGTGTACTTTTCAGTTTCTTTGATTGATGAATTCAGTATTGCTGAGGGAAATTGATGTAGTTTTCATAAAAATAGGAAAAATTTTGCACTGCAGTGTGCCGCTACCTAATAATATTCCTACAACCCTGGACTAATATTAATAATGTTTAGGATGGAACTTTTAGATAGGTAGCATTACTAAAATGATTAACAAATGAACTGTCTCAGATAGTCTAAAATTAGGACTGACTTGTACCATAGGAACTTGTTATAAACATACATACATAATGATATGCATATAAAATACCTAGAATCTTAAGAGATACAAACAAACATGTTCATGTAATATGTAGGGATCAAACTAGCACATCTTTTTTAACAGTTTGGTAAATAAACCAAGTCTCAACCAATCAATCATGAGATTGTTCAACAAGAACTTCTACATGAATACTGTTATTCCAGAACTCATAGCACTAGGATTTTGTAGTTTGATAACTATCAAAAAAGTAAACAACAATTGTTATTGTTACTAACCTCCAGCAGCCAAGATACGGGCGCGCGCCTTCTCTGTGACATGGAGGGCGGCCACGGTCATCTTGGGAACGGTGTATAACCTCACATCATTGGTCACTGTGCCGACGACGACGGCGATCAGACCCTCGCGCGTTGGCTTCTTCATGTGACGGGCCAGGCGCGACAGCGAGATCGGTGGCCGGTTGATGCGGCTCATAAACAGACGGCGCAGGACGATCTGGTTGAACTTAGAGTTCGTACGCCTGGCCAAGTATCTGTACAACTATCAACAACAAATTCGAGGTTAGAATGCTTGACACACATGACAAATACATCACAAAAACACGTAACTATGAACATTAGTATGTTTTATATGACGTGCAGGGCTACTTACTTTTACGAGCAACCTCAGGTACACATCCTGAGATTTTACTTCGGTGCGCCGAACTTTCCTGTCGTGTTTATGGTTGATGTCGATACCCTGAAATCAACAAAGCAACACATTCTGAATCCACCATTCTCACTGCAAAACACTTTGGACTTTCACAACACATCATTTTCACTCAGATTTTCGTGGATTTTTTCCAATTTTTGGATTTACGAAACTCACCATCTTGACAACCGGATGAAAAAGAGACTATAGACAATAACAATATTTGACAGCTGAACGAAATGTTGCTAGTTCATAAATGACCATAAACAAAATGAACTAGCTCGTACGAAAAAATTATGAATCGATTTAAGAATCGATTACATACTATTTCGAATGTTATTTATAAACCAATCCATGAATTTCAAAAATGAATATTGAATATTTACCATATTGAATGAGCAACTTTTTTTATCGTGAAATATTTTTAATTGGCATTTGATAGGTAAACTAAGGGATTATTTATTAGAGAATAAATTTTATAATATTACATTTGATTGAATGTTACCGGCAACTTATATTCCAAAAGTTGATGACTTTTGAATAGTTTACTTCAAAATATCAAAACAAATGAAACCGTCTGTCGTAAAATCTGTCATCGCGACAGATAACAAGTTTCGACCGCCGTTTTTTCGAAAGGCATGGAATTTAATACGAAACATCGAAAATTAACCAAAACTAAAAATTCTGTTCGTACTCCTTCAACCGCGAAACCACGTTTAACCAAAAAGAAGACTGTAACTCGTAAAAGAAAATGCGTGTGTCTCCCTGAAAATTACTCGGTAGTAGAGTTCCCAGCTATTTGGAATGAGCTGCGACAAAACGGCCAACTGTGCGATGGAACGATTGTTTGTAGGGACATGAAAACTATACGCGTACACCGGGCGATACTATCTGCCGTAAGTCCGTATTTCAAAGCGATATTTATAAATTCTTTAAAAAAAGGAGAGAAAGAGGAAACTGAGATATTCGTTGATGTCCCTAGTTATTACATGAGTCTTATCCTTGATTATGCATATACGGGCACGTGTATCGTAACCGCAGAGAATGTAGAATATCTTTTGCCTTACGCGGATCAATTTGATGTTGTCGGAGTCATACAGCTGTGTTGCCAATTTCTGCTGCAAGAGCTGAGACCGCATAACTGTCTTGGAATATTTAAATTTGCAAGGTATTACTTCTGCGGGGAATTAGAAAAGAAAGGTAAATTATATATAAGACAGAATTTTAGCAGAATACTTAAGGAATGTAATGAGTTTAAATCACTTGCGTACGATGAGCTCGAAGACATCCTGAGGGATGACGAACTCAATGTTCGGAACGAGGAAATAGTATTCCAAGCTGTTAAAACGTGGGTAGAATATGATATAGAAAACAGAAGAAAATATATTCCATCGCTATTGTGCTGCGTGCGGTTCGGTCACATTAGTTATAAATATTTCAAATCAAAAATACTCCAGTGGCAGCCAGTCGTTGATGATGCAGTAAGTAACGGTTCCATTTTAAAAACATTTCAAAATGACGTCATTCTAGAATGCAAATCATTTTACAGAAGAATCAAGAGGCGTTGTATCCAGCTGTGGTATTTCATACGCTGTTAGATTCTCGCCCCGGTACGGAAGCTGACCTAAACGACCCTCTGGCGAGACCACGAATACCCTACGAGATACTTTTTGCTGTTGGAGGATGGAGTGCAGGAAGCCCCACGAGTTTTGTTGAAACATACGATACGAGGTAATGTAGTTCTAAGAAAGTTAAACATCGAGTAGGGCCTTAAGGATCCGTAACTTTCGCTTTATCACCTTAAAGAAGACCAAGAAATGCTCCCATAGTTTTTAGTCTATTTAAGTAGCTACTTACCTACTTTTGCTACGTAACTTAAATACTTATATTTGGCATACAACTTTAGGGCCGACCGTTGGTTCCTCTCCATCCACATGGACCTGACGCCTCGGGCGTACCACGGGCTGTGTACCCTCAACAACCTGATCTACATGATCGGAGGCTTCGACGGCAGCGACCACTTCAACACCGTCCGATGCTATGACCCGGTGGCCAACACATGGCACGAGAGGGCTTGTATGTACCAGGCGAGGTGTTACGTCAGCGTGGTCGTTCATGGTGAGAATTTAAGAAATACTCTCCTCGTAAATGAAGCACAAACTTCCAGTGAAATATGTACGTTGTTTAACTATCTTAGGAATTTTTAGGAACTCTTTCTACGTTCTTCTGATTAATTTCGTTGCCGACCCAATGACTTAGCTTTCCCCCGGGACTTGACCTTCACTGGTTTGGTTTTTATTCGTGATCAAGCTGTAGATCCTGGCTACACAGGAGTTGCAGCGGTGGGAACAAGAGGTGGGGTTTGTCCCGTATCTTAGGAATTTCGGTAGGTAATGAAAACTTGGGTTTTTATTCAAATACCAGATGGTCTGATTTACGCACTGGGCGGCTACAACGGACGCACTCGCATGTCCTCCGTGGAACGCTACTACCCCGACAAGAACCAATGGGAGATGACCACGCCGATGAACAAGCAACGGTCGGACGCTAGCGCTGCTTCCTTGAGTGGCAAGGTATGGCTAATGGACTGAACCATATCATCTGATGAAGCGATCATCACTGCCCATTAATTATTAGCAAGAGATGCCGATGCGTCTTCTATTATTTCAAGAATATCATTACGTTTTTGCTTAGTATAGTCTCCAGACGGGTCATTTCTCAAACGAATTACTTACTTATACGAGGTAGAAAGGATCGTTGTTTTTAGTAATTTGACTTTATACTACCTTCAGATTTACATAGTGGGTGGTTTCAACGGCCAAGAGGTTCTAAGCTCGGCTGAAGTGTTCGACGCAGACACGAAGCAGTGGAGCTTTATCAGGTCCATGCTGAGTCCTCGCTCTGGAGTCAGCCTCATCGCCTACAGAGACTGCCTGTACGCCCTCGGAGGATTTAATGGATACAGTCGCCTGAATACTGGTAGGTGTAGATATCCTTATTCCTTACTACCAACTGTAGTTAGGTTAGACTTCAGGAGTTGCAGTGGTGGTAACGAGAGATGGCAATAGTCCCGTACTGTAGTTATTTCATAGATATCAGATTACAATGCTTATGGATGATGGTCTGGCACGAATTTTAAAAGTACCACTTGTAGCTTACTACTATAGCTTTGGCCATGTTTATTTGGCTTAGCTCTCTGACGTCAAGTGAATTTGCTTGCTTTCGCACAGGAGAAAGATTCAATCCTCACCGTGGTGGCGACTGGCAAGAGGTGACGGAAATGTTCAGCGCCCGAAGTAACTTCGCTACTGTTCTGCTGGACGACATGATCTTCGTTATCGGGGGCTTTAATGGTAAATTGAACTTTGCTACAACCTTATTTGTAAGCATTGACTCGTTCAAAAACTGTCATTTATACCTATTCCGGAAATTATTACCTTTCCGATGTTATGCGTCTCCTACTTTAGGATAGTTACTTCGATAGTAATATTATGGCCTTAATATTCTTACAGGGTCGACCACAATACCTCACGTTGAGTGCTACGACGGAGACACCCTGGAATGGTATGACGCTGCTCCAATGAACCTGAATCGGTCTGCCCTAAGCGCCTGCGTTCTTTCGGGACTTCCCAACGCGCGCTCTTTCTCCTACCTCGCCAAAGCTGTTCCTGCCGCTGGAGCAGACCAAGCTCACCATTCATAATCCAAAACATTCTAAACTTAACCACACCACCCCTTTCCTTCGCTGTTATTAAACATCTTTGTTTTAACCGTACGTCTCTGAAGAAATTTTAGATACAGTTGATCGTGAGTACGCTGGCCATTTTGTCGCGGACGTTTTGTTCGAATTCTCGACTGTGATATAATAATCAATTAATGTACATAGCGTTTGTGTATTCTATTTTTTAATATCTATCATAAAATCATGGTAATTTAATTGTATAGATCAATGCCAATAAACTTTGTACTTTATTTTTATATTAAACAATGCGTTGTAAAGGGCGAAGCTCTATTCTGGATTATTTTAGATAAACTTTTAAAGCGAGGGGTTTATAAATTCTCAAGTTTTTTTTATGTATAGTGTAGTTTGTGATAAATTTATTTTGGTACTTTTGTGTATAGTTCGCGTCCGGCAAATCAGGATGGTCGCGTTTTGGATGTGTGTACGATGCGCGGGCGCGTGCGGCCGCGGCGTTGTTGTATCTGTGATATTTTCAAGGATAAAATTGCAAAAAAATGTAAAATTGATTTTTATGAAGAAAAATTTACTGTACCCGATTGAAAGATTGATAAATTTACAAATAAAGAAAAACATTACATGAATTTGATTTTTTATTTCTTAATTCCGCTTTCCCCAATAAACAAATGTGGGTAGGACATGGACCAAATAAGCTATTAGGCGGTCTTATCGCTTTAATGCGCTCTCTTTCAGGTGAACCTACCCAGATGAAATAAGTAAGTAGGTATTTACCTAAAAGGGAATTTAAGGCGGTGAAAGTTTCCCCAAAATCACAAAAATGATAAATCAGCCTTTTAAAAAATTGTTTCATCAAAATCTGTTATGCATTAATTTGTTTAAATTATTCACTACCGAGTAAATAAACATAAGAGGAATTTAAAATCCAAGTTACGGGCCTTATTGATAAAGGATCGTGCATTCCTTTAGCGTCAAGTTATTTTAATAACTTGTGTGCTATTCGTCCAAGCTTGTGTGACTCATTAGGAAACGATATGCAACGAAAGATACGTGCGCGTAGTGGCCGGTTATTTATACTCGTAGGACAAAGCCGAAACTACCACCGAATACTCTGAAATTCTGAATCAGCGTACTAGCGAGAGTGGATGTCGTGCGATCGTGCGTACACTAGGGGGAGAAAATAGGGAGGCGGGCGCGCCCCACCCCGGTATTCCCGGCGCGATCGAACCGCAGCGTAGTGGACTTACAGACGCATTCGGGCGAGGTGTTCCGTGAAAAAAGTGATGGAGTTAAAAGGAAAGGTTGCCTTGATCACCGGCGCTGCCGCCGGCATTGGCCTCGCGTACACAGAAGAACTCCTCAAACAAGGAGCCAAGGTAAGTAAATAAAAACACTTTTCCTCCGCGCATGGCCAGGAAATTCGTAAGTTCAAGGCGAAATTGCCGATGAATGAAGTGGCTGGAAGTAAGCCAAGCCTCCAGGATGAAAATCCGCGAAGACAGGTTCATTATCCGCTAATAACCATTCGTTATTGATTTTTGCCGGCGCCCGTCCTGCGTGATTGTTTTCGGTATAACTTTCCTTGTTGTATTATGTCCAGTTGTAGGTAGGTAATATACCTATCCCGAGGGGGTTGCTGCTATTGCTTATACGCAATAGTGATAAATTCAGTTATCGATAGGATTTAATTATTTCAGTTAATATTAAAAACAACATAGGAGTACAGTTTGGGGAAGGATGGAGGATTTTTTAAATCAAAGAACAACAGGACAAATTTTTCTTCACCCTTCCTTCTGATAAGCCACATGGTGTGAATGAAGATTTACATGTAGGATGTGATGTGATGATTTATTGCACAAAAAACTATCGTTCTCCAAATCCCGACAGGTGCAAATTAGTGTGAGCTCTTATGTTTGGTCATAATCCTATAATTTCACTGTAACTATTTCTATGATTTTCGAGATATTTATTTACGTGATTTAGGAAGTTAGCATGACTCAAGTTCTAACAAGGCACTCACCCCACCACTTGTCAGGTTTCAGTATGCGACATCGATTCGGAGATCGGGGAACAGGTGGCCGACGAGTTGGGAGCCAAGTATGGCCGGAAGAACGTGCTGTTCTGCCAGTGTGACGTCACCGACTACCCACAGTACGAAGGTACGAAGCGTCAACCAAAATCCAAATGCTTATCTTCACCCCACCCATCCGACTTACATTGCAGGCTTTGTGTCGAAAAATAACAGAACGATTTTTACAGCCTTTTTTTTTGGTCCAACATAAACAAAATACTAGTCTTGCTAGTATTGCTTACATAGGCCGATTCTTATACAAAATAGATATCCCAACTAATATTATAAATGAGTATTTCTCAAAAAAAATGTACGTAACGAAACGGTAGTAACGAAATAGTAAGGCCATAAGGCTTGTTATACATTGGCGAAATATTGTGAATGCTCTAAATTTATTCAATTCGAAATATTTGTAAGTATGCACCCAAATACGGGGTAATATTAAGGGGTTAGAAATAAAATAAGGGAGTAATCATTCATACTATTTTAATAAAATTATTTTTGTTCCATCATGTTTATTCATTTTGAGTCGTTCTCTGTAAGCTTTTTGCCTTTCGGCATTGGTTTTTGGCGGCATTCCTAAAAAAACAAAAGAAGTAATCACATAAAAACGTAATCTAAATGATTTGATAATTTTTTGCTGGTGGCACTTCTGTAAAGCAGATAGTATCCAATCCTTTTGTTATTAACGCTCTATATTTTTTGAAATAAATTAAGTAGTGAATATTACTATGCTTAGTCAGGTAATAACAGTATACACTCAGCATTATGTTGTACTTTTTCGTAACGTAACGAAATTCGTAAAAAACGTAACGAAATATTAGACAAAATGAGATCAGAAACAAGTATTTTTTTGATAAAATTTGTTACAGCAAATATAAAAGCTTACTAAATGTTCGTACCACACGTATTACAAAAAATGGTTAAATGAAGACTTACCGTTCTATATAAAATCGCTGATTTTACTGCCTGTTACGAAAAAGTAATCCCACAAAACACACACGTTTTCACTAATTTTCGCGATAGATGTAATGGCGGAGACGTCAGGCCAACAGCCATTCAGAGTGCAGCTATTGTTGTCCGTGTAAAATAAATACGGAATTGTTCAGAAACCATGGTAAAGTAGAAATAAATCGTAACTAAAGAGTAAATAACGAAATAGTAAATGAGAGCGACTCATTTTGTTTTTTTGCTTTAAATTGCCAATTCATTATGACACCCCATAGAAAATCAATTTGATACAGAAACTGCGATTACTGTAGAACGATAATACAAAGAAATTTACAATAATTTAGTTACGTATCGCATTTTATGAAACAAAAACACATGAAAAATCTAGGGTGGCAAACAGGTTTTTGTATGAGAGGTAAAAAAGGACTATTTTTAAAATATCTAAATATTTGGTAATAAGTAGGATTATAGCTATAATTCTTCGTTATCTTAAAGATTAATATTCATCCTTCAAAATTGTGTATGTGTTTTTTTTGTGTGATGATTTATAAATATAAAACTTTTGAACTGTTTCAAAGCACACTTTTTTTTTTCAAAATGTACATTTTTTTTGAGAAATACTCAAATGCGAAAGTAACTCTGTCTGTCTGTCTGTCTGTTACGCTTTCCCGCTTAAACCTCGCAACCGATTTTGATGAAATTTGGCATAGAGATAGTTTGAGTCCCGGGAAAGAACATAGGATAGTTTTTATCCCGGTTTTTGAAACAGGGACGCGCGCGATAAAGTTTTTCTGTGACAGACAAAATTCCACGCGGGCGAAGCCGCGGGCGGAAAGCTAGTAAAATAATAAATTGGAGAAATCACGCAACTTTTCTAACAATTAAAATGAGAAAATGTAACTTACACCGTTTTGTTGATTACAACAACATGAGCAATTAATTTAAATAACAATAATCAAGACAATTAGTAAGATTTTACATTAATGATTTACAACAACAATTAATCAAACATTTTACGTAATGAAAAAAATATTTTATCGATGTTCACTGTCCTGGAAGGCTATACTGACAACGCCTAACTGGTGGCGGAGTTTTTTTGGGTAGGTTTATTGTTGACACGACAAGAAGAAGACTGTCCCGGCTTAATCTAACTAAGCAAAGGGGTAGGTATAAGTGAATAATCTTTGGAATGATTTCAGAGGCTTTCGAGATGACGATGAAGGTGTTCAACCGACTGGACATCGTGATCAACAACGCCGGCGTCATGAACGACAGGTTCTGGGAGCTGGAGGTGGACGTCAATCTAGTAAGTTACCACTTATCACCACGTACCACTTTGGCACGTAAAAAAGAATTTGAAGGGTGCCAAACCATAATACCGCGCCGTTATAATTAAGTGCCAGAAAATGAAATTTCCAGGTGACACGAAAAATGTGCCTCCTAATTTTCTGGATCATAAAACGTTATGTTATGATCCCTCATTTATGTGATCATTTCAGCCATTTCTACTGTGGATTTCCTATAAAGACCGGTCCTGCGCTGCTCGCAGAATTTACTCATTTACCTACTAATAAAGTTCCGCCATCTAATTGATAGTTCCAGTTAAAACTTAGCAGTCGCTTAACTTAGCGCCACTAACAAAGCTCTTTCTCTCATTATACTTGACTTACTTACCCGTAACAAAAAAGTTGATTCGTTTCATCTTTTTACGTCAAAGAAAGGAATCAAAGGAAGTTGACGGACGAAGACGGACGGGACATACTTAGAAAAGCACTTTACGGTTCGGTGGGAACCGTAAAGTGCTTTTCTAAGGATGTCCCGTCCGCAAATAGGCAGAATAATGAATGACAACTAAAAATAGGCGTCACTAAAAATATCCATTGATCGACAGAACGGGGTGATACGCGGGACTCTGCTGGCCTACCGATTCATGGGCAAGGACCGCGGGGGACAGGGCGGCACTATCGTGAACACTGCGTCCACAGCCTTTGCGAGACCTCAAGTGTCCACCCCCATCTACACTGCTACCAACTACGCTGTGGTGGGGCTGACCAGGTCTTACGGGGTAAGTCTTAAACTTAGTAGTTCTAGATTAATATACGAATGGGGAATGGGGAGACAGAGAAATATGCGGAAGAACCGCTGAGGATACGGTGTTTGCGAGGGTTCCAGCTAAGTCAGTTACTATGTCCTTGAGGATGCAAAATTATGGTCACCCATATCTGTGGTCACCCCCATCTACATTATTATGCTGGCGCTTGTTCCCAACCAGTCACACTGAAACGTGTAACACGTTACTTGTTGGTAAAAAAATCCCATCAAATCACAACACCGTTATTCGTTAGGACATTGTTTACCTATCTTCCCTACCAGTCACACTGTAACCTATATTTTCTGTCCGTCTAATTTAAGTCGTGAGATAAAAAGTACCTAATTCAATTTAGAATTAAGAATTATCGATGTCAACATTGACTGTTAATTTGTATGGGATTATGGAAGAAATTAAAAACTGTTCCGTATCTCACAGGACCAGTACCACGTGAACTTGACAGGCGTGAGAAGTATGGTGCTGTGCCCGGGGCTCACCGACACGGGCCTGGTCAAGGAGATCCGCAAGCAGCTCATGTCTTCCGAGTACGAGGCCGCCTGGCAGAGGGACAACGCTAACTGCAAGACGCAGAGGTAGTTTAACTTTAACTGTTAAAATGTTTTTGCAGGGCTATAGGGTATCCCATAATTAACTTAAAAAAAAAAAACCGACTTCAAATGCGTGAACACAAAAAAAAACTAAAAATTGAAAATATTGCGTATAAAATAGTTCATCCCCAATTTTCCACCCTTGGGGGTGAAATATTTTCTTCAAATTCGCATGAAACCACCCTTTTGATAATACCTATTCAACAAAAAAATAATCGTTCAAATTGATTTATAATCGGCGGAGATATTGCGTATAAAAAAGTTCATCCCAAATTTTCCACCCTTGGGGGTTGTTTTTTCTATTATTAAATTTAAATGGGACCACCCTTGAGGTATTACCTATACGCAGAATAAAGATTTGTTCAAATCGGTTCATAATTGGCGGAGTTATCGCGTAACAAACATAGAAAAAAAACATACGGGTCGAATTGAGAACCTCCTCCTTTTTTTGAAGTCGGTTGAAAATTAGCACGTAACACCGATACTATACTAGTAAAGGTTGATGGGTCCAAGACACATCGAATAAGCCTAAATAAATACCGTATATGTATAGTCTATAGAAGTTTCATAAGTTTTGTAGCTACATTTGAGACACCGTTAGGTTATACAGGGTGTCACTTATGCCGCCAGATTGCTTTAAGGGGGAATGGTTTAAATTATTCGAAACTTTGTATACCGTTATGATCAATTCGTCAAGATGAAATGGCCAACCTTGCACTTACCAGGTAGCTGGTCAACTCAAGAACGCTTCTTTTCCATTTGCACGCTATAAGGTGTACCTACTGACTGTGGAAGAAAAAATCATTTCAATTACTTGCATACTATCAAATCACTGAAAATTTCTATCTTTTTCAGCGCGGAACACGTTGGCAGGTCGCTAATCGAGATACTCACCAAAGGACAGAGTGGCTCAGTCTGGGTTGTCGAGAACGGCCTGCCAGCCCGGGAGTGGCGTGGCTAAGCAGTTTACCAGCGACAAACTGATACAAAAAACTTACGGGCAAACGAAACGTTTGTGAAACTCCCGTGCCGTTAGAGAATGGGGCTTAGGACGCTCGTCCTTGCATAGAATGGTACGTAATACTAGATTCAATCTCTTAGATATTTACAGTCATAGAATTTGAACAATACGCGTAGGTAGACAATTTTCAATAAACGTCTCTAAATCTTTCGAGCTCTATTAAAGTTCGTTAATGATAAATATTAAATTACCATTCATTTGCCTAATTCCCATTTTCTAACAGCACGCTATTTTAACAGGATGGTTCAAAAGTGAATTTTTCTATGAAAATATTTTCTTGCTGTACTTTTGGACCAACCTGTATTTTAAATGACAATTTTATCAAAAGCTCAACTGAAATGGGGCNCTGCAATGTTTTAATTTTGTTAAATTGGTAATGACGTCAATTTTGGGAGAAGGGGGGGGGGGGGTCCATTAAGAAATGACGATAGGATGATTGTAGGGGGGGGGGTCTAAAATCTGAAAAAATCGATGACGTAATTTATGGACGGCCCCAATACAAATTCGTGCCAACTAGGGCCCAACCACTTTCCTCAGTACAACAACTTCAGCTATCTTTTTATCAACGTTTCAAAATTAACATTAATTTTTCAAGGCGAGGAAAGGGCACAGAAAAAAGCAATATTTTTAACAGCACTTTTTTAAACTTATGAACTCTTTCAAGCTGACTTCAAATTATGAAGTGGTTGTGTAAATATTCTGTTTCAGTAGGAATAGTCGTCTCGTGTAAGAAGCAGCATTTATATTTTTTAAAGAATGTTTTATAAAATATGTAACAACATTAATGTATAATTATACGCGGTAATATTTAGATGTAAGTCCTTGTATTGTGTACCTTCCTACTTATTGTAATAAAATCGTATACAGACAAGTATGTATTTTAAGCACATACTTGTATTTTAAATGCTTTTGAATTATTAGTTACGGATGTCAAACATTTTGTTTAAGATTGTAGTACTAAGTGTGCAATGTATAAATATCGAGGGCGCAAGTTAGTACACTTTGCTTATGGGGGTGAATAATTAATAACAGCAACAAGTATGGAAAATTCGATGTGTGTCCGATTGCGCCTAAATTGTTTTATTTTAATGTTTTGTATGTATTATGTATACATTTTTTATGAAGTTTGTTGACTATTTACCGACATTACGAAGCTTATTTATTGCCAAGTACGTTGTGTACAAGCTTAAAATTTATTTGCAATAAAAACAATACACAAAATAGGAATTTCATTCTAAAAGAAACCACCATTTGGAAGATTTGTAGTAAATGTATATTTCCATATTAATACAATCACCAGGTACAGTTTTTGAGTTACAGATTTACAAATATATTGTATTTTGTCAAAAGTTAATTTCAATTTTCACACGAAAAGGACTTTTGCCAAACAATCTATTTTAATAGTAGAATATATTTTACGACAAATGATTCCAATTTATAGAACGAATTAAACTAAGTCCCCTTCAGAACAATTCGAACGCATACTAAAATTTGTGTGATAAAACAGTGGATCACTTTCTTAGTTGAATAACCCTGGCGGCGCCGGAGCCGCTCGGACGCGGGCCCGGCGCCCCTCAGTCGCACGCAGTCCTACTATCACATTTTATTTTCTAAACTAACAATAAAACGACAGTCAATAAAAACAAAGTCATCCACATTTTATTAAACACAGGGCCGATTGCAGCATAATATTCGATTTCAAAGTCCCCCGGCCAATCGTTTGGCCTTAAATTTACTCTGACCCAGCAGATTACTGAAATTACTGCACATACCCTCACATAACTATACAAGTGTGTTGTTACAACACATCAGTAGGACTGCTGAGAAACACCCGGCCATTGCTAATTAAAAAATGGAAGCGCAATGGCCCTAAGAAATAATAAAACATGTACATTTATCTATCTCTCGTTACAACTTTAAATAGGCACGACCGCGCATAATACGTGAGAAGCTTTAGGAAAATATAATCCATTGGGCATGACATAAATAAACGTTTAAATAAACTATGCAGGAATCCACTTCTACATAGCCTCGGGAAAATTTACACGTGAGGCGTCGGCAATCGCCTCTTGACACATTGACATCTCATAATACATAATTTAGCCTAATATCGCTGTTTCCGGTCGACTTGTGACATAATACAAGTTAATTTAGTTCATGCCAATGTACAGTACAACTTGCCCAAACATTACCGTTGCTCACTGCTCTCCTATAATTATTTTACACTATCCGTGAGCGCTTTACCACGAAGACGTTTTGTTCTTTCGCTTCTTACGGGAATTTCCATCTTACTCCTTCCATTTATTGGATACAACACTATCACACCAAAACATTGTCCGTCTGCTTATATCCACACCACTTTGTAAGTTCCCGCAAGGACAAAATTACCTTTAACTGATTAACATTATAAACAATCAATCACCAAGTTACACTTTTCCGTTACGTTTGCTCTCCTGATTAGTCCTCGCGATAATAAATTAAGATTCATTGTATACTCGGCGTCGCATTTCTCTTTTACTTTGCTGTGGACAAATGAAAAAAATACTGTTAATATTTTTAAAGAAATTTTGTAAAATACCTAAGTAATTTTGAGAAAGAAATCATCATCATCATCAACAGCCCTTTACAGTCCACTGCTGGACTATGAGCCTCCTCCACTATAGTGGAGGGTTTTGCCATAATCTCCACGCTAGGCAGGCGGGTTGGAGATTGCAGTTTAAAAGATTGATGTTTTTCAGAGAGCGCTGCTGCCCATTCTCTGTTTAATGTGTAGTCCCTAAGTCGCCTCTTACGACACCCGCGGGAAGAGTAGGGGTTGGTGACAAATGTATTCTGCTCTGCCGTCACCACACGGCTTAAGGAAGAAATAAATCTCCAATTTTCTCACAGTGGGACAAAATATAGGTTTACTTTACAATGGAAGAATCTTCCTGGTACAGCAGTAGTAATCAACAAAATAACATCTCGCAAGCTGCTTTCGGCTTTTTGATTAAATGTAGCAGCTTAATTTTTTTTTAATTATCAATACAAATTATTTTAAAACATTTTGCGAAATTTTACTATCTAAAGATTGCCAAAATACGCCGACTACGTTACGTCGGGAAATGCTTTGGCCGATGGAGACGGCCAGAGGGTTGTGGGAATCACCCGCAGACGAGCGGAGCCTGTGCACTAAACCCTGACGGTGTCCTCCGCAGTCAATAAAACGGAGCCGCGAGTTGTCTTAAAATTGGACATTCGTTCGCAACTCGACCCACCCTTTTTTTTTTCGAACAAAAAATGCATGAATTTGCATACCTCCCCTGCGGGGACAAGGTAGGTTAAATGGCTCATCAGAAGAATGAGGCATACCCCACTAAAATAACCAGGTTCGACCCACCTTTTTTTTGTCAAGAAAATACATTAATTTGTATACCCGCCAGCCGCGGGGGCAGTTAGTGGATTATGTGGGGTTCTCCCTGGCCAGGGCAGGGCCTACCCACTAAAAACCTGACGTTGCCCTCGGTAGCCATATGAGTCGGAAACGCGGGACATCACTATTGGCGTTTTGCCTCAAGCATTCCCATGTCCTAACATGATCCGTCATAGTGTAGACATAAAATATAACAGAAGGTAAACTCATGTATGTACCTCGCTTTGCATACCTCGCCCGCTCGCACGCTCGGCCGTCCCGCTAGGGTTGTCTTGTCATGTGTTGCGTTTATTTCGTTATGATAGAAAAACGTTACTCTTAATACTATAGAAGAAAGACAATAACAGATATCCACGTATACTTATGTAGTTATGTTTAGTACGATATTATAGTAATAGTTTGCAAACAAATACACGAGAAGGAAGTAGTATGTAGTTGAGTGGTTGACACTATTATCCAATAATTCCTAAAACTGTTCTAAAACAATTCGATATTCCTAAGAATTGAGTTGGCTTTCAATTGGCAACTTTAAACGAAGTATTGAATTACAAATACCTACCTTACCTCCCGGATTCAACTGTTAGTTTCAAAAACGAAAATGTAGTTTTTAATGTTCAGTGTAAGCAACCGTCTACTTAACAAATGTTATAATACCCCTTTTTTGTTGTTCACTAATTTTGGCACAAACAAAATAATTTTACGAACGCGTGAGTAGCGTCACTCAAGCGAACGCAGTCGCGCCTCGCATTCGTCCAAGACAGTCTTGAAAACGGGTACGTGAGCGGTGTTTATGTGTGCGTGGCTCGAGCGCGCTTAGTATGGATTTTTTTTCTTTTTTCAGACAAATGACGTCCACTGCTGGACAAAGGCCTCCCCCAAGGTTTTCCACAATGAACGGTCCTGCGCTGCCCGCATCCAGGCTCTTCCCGCGACCTTTACCAGATCGTCGGTCCACCTAGTAGGAGACCTGCCCACGCTACGTCTTCCAGCCCGTGGTCGCCACTCGAGAACTTTCCTGCCATAACGGCCATCGTCTCTACGAACTATGTGCCCCGCCAACTGCCACTTGATTTTAGCAATTCTGCGAGCTATGTCGGTTACTTTGGTTCTCCTGCGGATCTCCTCATTTCTGTTTCGATCACGCAGGGAAACTCCGAGCATAGCCCCGCTCCATCGCCCTTTGGGTGACCTTGAGCCTTCTTATGAGGCCCATAGTAAGCGACCACGTCTCAGATCCGTATACCATCACTGGCAACACACATTAGTCAAATACTTTCGACTTGAGACACTGCGGTATTTCAGACGTGAGTATATGGCAAAGCTATGAAAGTATATGAAAAGCAAACGAACGCTGCCCATCCGAGTTGGATTCGACGATTGACCTCTTTCTCGAAGTATGGAGTTTACCTTCTGTTATATTTTGTGGTGTAGAGGTGTCTCACCTGTGGCTGTGGCCGGCATAGGCGCCGGCAGCGCGGGCGGCGGCGCGCTGGAGGTCGGCGCGGGCGCGTTGGGTGCGCGCGCGCCGCGGTTCGCGCCGCCGCCCCGCCCGCGCCCGCCGCGCATCACCCGCCATCTGAGCGACAACGATGTTTATTTAGCATGTTACATAAATTCTTTATGGATTAGCAAGGTGGTAATGGCACTATGGTAGGGTACATAGTACCACAGAATAATAATAAGTACTACGTACAGAAGTTTTACTTCGCGAAGGTATTTAAAAAAATGTATGCTCAATGTCATTAACAATATGGTGTAATTTAGCCTGTCTCAAGAGTCAAGCACCATTTTGTTGACAAACGTCGGTGATCGGCACTGCGCCGAAGCTATAGGGCTGACTTCGGTAAAATGATGTGACGTTAGGTGCCAAACTGCGGAAAATGGCGGAGGAAATACATGATTTAGCATGAATTATCATGAATAATATTAACTACTTCTTTACCTCTCAGTGTCTTGAGGCAACTTAAAAAAGTACATTCTGTGTTTTTATTATTATTTAGGCAGTTAAATACTGCACAGTATTTAGTACACCATTTTCTTTATTTTCTACCATCATACACAAGAATACGCGTGCGTGAGTCAATGTTCGCTCGTATTGAGGCCTTGTCGAATAGTATCCTGTAGGTGGGCCATCGTGCGTGTTTTGTTTTCGATGTAAACTCGCGGAGATGAACAGGCCTGATAGTACGCAGAACTGACGGCCTATGGGGCAGCAAGGTTCTGGAGAGGAGGCCACGTACTGGAAAACGCAGCGTAGGACGACCCCCACAAGGTGGACCTCATAAAGGTACCAGGAAGGCGCTGGATGCAGGCTGCCACCAACCGACCATTATGGAAATTGGAGGAGACCTATGTTCTACTATCGATGATATAAGTTTTTATTTAGGCATAGATATGAGAATAACATAGGTTTGGGAAGAAAGAAAGGGAGAACGCTTTCACGGAAGTCCATGGATACGCTTTTTTCAGACGCCGTCCACATTCCACACGTCGTGTTTTACTTGAGTAGCTTGCGCTAATGTCTGATTACGTAAATTAAGTTTTACAAGCTTTAAGCCCCACCCATTGCCAAAATTTGGCAATTCTGAGCTATGTCGATCACTTTGTTTCTCATAAATGGAGAAACTCCGTGCATAGGTTGCTCCTTCACCTTTTGGATAACCTTGTGCCTTCTTATCGATAGTAATGGAGCACATCTCAGTCTACTACCGCTATAGTATCGCAAATAATAAAAGGACAGATTTTATTACTAAAAGACGGAACGCATTTGAGTACCGCGGCGTGGTACTGCACTACACGTCACTTACTACGCAGCGATACCGCCCTAATCCTCAAATTGATCTGTGTTGCACAGACCAGGCAATTTGAGGCTTTGTGGCGCGTCGCAGAGCCAATCAATTGTGACCCAAACTTAAGGTTTAAAATGCTACTCACGGCTGATGCTGGTTGTAGTGCTGATTGTGCATATTGTGCATGCTATGCATATTGTGCATGTTATGCGGGTTGTGCGGGTTGTGGTGCCGCCATCCGGCGCGGCCGCGCCAGGCGCCGCGGCGGGCGCTTGCCACGCCGAACGTTTCCGAGTTGAGCTTGCGCTCCGTTCGCCAGTCCGTCCGCTGGCTGCGGCCCTTTGATCTGCGGACAAGTTGAGTAGCTTTTAGCGAGAATATTGCTTGGGAATTTTGAACGCTGTAATGGAAAATACTATAATATAAAACGATTTATTATTAAATTACCTAGTAACCTATCTTGACAGAAAAACTTAATACTTGAATCCTACTATCCTACTAATATTATAAATGCGAAAGTTTGTGTGGATGTCTGGATGTTTGTTACTCTTCACGCAAAAACTACTGAACAGATTTTGTTGAAACTTTACAGTATTATTGTTTATAACCCAGATTAACATATAGGCTATAATTTATGACGATATGTGACAAATAAATTTCAATAAATAAATAAGATGTGTCTAAAAAGCGCCATCTATAGTCATTGGTTAAAATCTACAGCGCTGGGCAAACTACATGTTTTTGACATTCGTAAATACATATTCATGCGGGGAAAGTCGTGAAACGCCATCTATCAACATGATAATATTATCTAACAACAGATTTTACGAACTAAGGGGGTAAAACGAGTCCCACGCGTACGACAGGCGGCCGCTAGTATTCAATAAGTTACGGAGGGGTTCACAGATCCACTATAGCAGGGATGGCGAACCAATGGCACGCGTGCCAATGATGGCACTCGCCACAAAATTTAGGGTACGCCACCAATCACAAAGTTTACTATAAAATAAAATAGTAAATAATGTGTTTACATTAAGGGCTATCGTATTTGCCCTCATCAATTAGTGCCACTATAGAGTAAGGTCCTGTCACTAAACTTGTACGATACTACACCTCATTGATAGCATTAGGTGTAATTTTGATGGCACGTCCACGACTACATTCAAAAAATATTTAGAAAGGTGGCACGTTGATACATAAAGGTTCACTATCCCTGCACTATAGGTTCAACAAACTCAGCGCAACGTGAATATAATTTAAGTGTTACAGCAGTTTATGCAACTTCTCGCGGGATCGAGTCATAAATAATGGATTTTAAATAACTTTACATAACGCGGCGAGGACACCAACTTCAGTAGATCACAAATCAAATCAAATCAAATCAAATATATTTATTTTGCGAACATGAACACAAATTCGTACCCTGAATGTTATTGACCTCATAAATATAAATAAGATAAAAACTTGAGATACCGTTTTATTACGTCTGTTTATATTATCTGAATCAAAACAAAACGCCATATTTATAGATTGGGTATAAATAAAAAATTCCAATACAGTTGAATAAGTTATTCTTCGTGGACTATCTCGCTAAAGCGCGTAGAGCGTCACGCAGTGATTGGCAGAAGCCAATGTTGAGTAGATAAAGAAATACGTGCATTTCTCTATATTATGAAATGGTACGAGTAACAAGTAGACACATTAAAAAAAATAACTTATTATAGCCTGACCAGGAACATAAAAACCCTGGCATAGAGGCGCCTCAATTGCATTTGATAGTGCAACACTGAGTACAGTCGTACCTGTGTTAAATTATTAGGCTAACTTTATGTATCAGGATTCAGGATTACGGGCTAATTTGATATTTTCATAAATTAACGAAAAAATATTATTATAGGTAACCAGATTTAAATAAATTAAATGAAACCATCAATCGAGCTAGTAGATTTATTTTATTATTGATCAATAATCAAATTCAGAACTTGAATATTCAACTGCAATGTCTGCTCATGAACGCATCAAACTCGGTACTTCTTTCCCAATCCCATAAAATTCAACACTTAGAAAGTGTCAAAATTTTTAAAATAGGTAGTTGATACAAACCACAGCTAATTTTCATAGTGGACTGTACTATACGATAAACATGTCAGTCAATTTGACAACCTTCTACACGTATTTTTCACTTTTTCAAACTAATGAAAATTTAAAGAGATAAAGCGCCCCAAAGTTCATAAGAAGAGGCCCGTGACGTCAACGCTTGCTTAAAAATGCCGCACGTTGTGACGTCGTGCGCAACTTCAACGCACCATAACTATGTAATTATTTGTTAGATTGACAAATAAAAATATACGTGTCCAATATTTTTTGATATTAAACATTACGGACTAAAAAAATTTTTTTAGGCAACTAGCCTATTGTTAATGCTATGTTACTGACCTCTCAACAGCTTCGCAAGAGATGTTGTCGAAGAAGCTCTTGTTCTTATCATAGCCCATGAAGCCGCTATCATTCTCGTCTACCTCCGCTTCACCCGCGCCCGTCTCGTTGCCGGAATCGTCCTTTTTGTCCACCTCTCCCTGTAGAAACAAGATAAATGCATCAGTAACTTGTGCTATCGCAGTAAATGATAAACGGAACATTTAAGTAACAGACATTGTTTGCGTTTATCGTTTCTGCCACCGAAAGACTAGACTGAAGACACTAGACACAGTAGCCGCCTGGCGTCCAACGTGTTAAAATGTTATTGCTTGATGAAGGACTACATTAGAGTAAAGACGCGCGTATTATGACATATTATGTAGACATCGTAACGTAACGCGAATGTATCGTGTGGCTGGTCAATAATAACAAGTAAATTGTGTCTGCTCTTGCGTTTACAATGCGAGCATTTGAACACAAACTAAAGAATAATAATAATTTTGAGTTGACGTGTTTCACTTGCATTTAAAGCATAAGAGAGCCACCAGGCAGCCCTAGTAATTAATTCGGAAATCACTACGCTCAATATTTTAATTATTTTTCTCTGAAGCTATTGCGATATCAGCTGCCTGTCAAAATTAGAAAGTTCACATATTAGGCCTAACTGAGACCATCAGCTGTACCTGTCAAAATAGCAGGTATTTCACATGTTAGAGGACTAGTCTAAAACGCATAAGCTGTACTTACAACAGGCGTAACCTCAGGCTTGACCTCCGCATCGCTGATCTTGGTCTTGGCGAGCTGATTGCGCAGCTCCTGGAACTCAGTATTGGCCTGCTCGAAGTCGTAGTCGTTGTCGAACTTGAGCGTATTCTTGTTGCGGGGAACGAAGCCGCGACCGCGCCCGCGCGGCCTGCCTCGCCAGCCGCCGCGGTTGTAGCCTTGCCCTGGGAAAATGGACGCTGTGATTATGGGAAATAAGAGCTGGAATTGATTGGGGAATTATTACTATGCTGTATAACAAATTAAGAAGAAGTGAAGTCAATATCATTTGAGAAGGACCCTGCCACTGATAGAGGAGACGTGAAATGAATGTATTTTGAGTATTTGGCATAGTACTGCTAAGGACCATCTCACTAGAAGAAGAGAAGCTTGAGCAATAGACATCTTCCCTAAAAGACCTATCACTTAATAGGAGAAGTTTGGGAAATGAATATTATCTGTCACAAGTTTCGGGAAATAAGTCATTTGAGAAATAAGCAACTATATCTTTAAACAAATAGGACATCTGAGGCTGCTGCTGGTGCTGCGGCTGGAATAGCGCGTGCGGTGGGGTTCACGCGTACGAAGTTGCTTGCGGTCGCTAATATTATGCTAAGACTCACCACCCTGATGATGATAGTTCGACGTCTCGACCTGGTGATGGTGATGATGCTGCGAGCTCTGCGGCTGCTGCTGCTGCTAGTGCTGCGGCTGCTGATGCTGCTGCTGCTGGTGCTGCTGCTACTGCCGCTGGAGTAGCGCTTGCGGTTGTTCACGCGTACAAAGTCGCGGGCGGCCGCTAGTACCATGCTAAAGGACTCACCACCCTGATGATGATAGTTCGACGTCTCGCCCTGATGCTGCTGATGGTGGTGGTGCTGCTGCGAGCTCTGCGGCTGCTGATGCTGCTGCTGCTGGTGCTGCTGATGCTGCTGCTGCTGCTGGTGCTGCTGATGCTGCTGCTGCTGCTGGGATAGCGCGTGCGAAGTCGCGGGCGGTCGCTAGTATTATACTAAGACTCACCACCCTGATGGTGATAATTCGACGTCTCGCCCTGATGCTGCTGGTGGTGGTGGTGCTGCTGCGAGCTTTGAGGCTGCTGATGCTGCTGCTGCTGGTGCTGCTGATGCTGCTGCTGTTGCTGCGGTTGCTGCTGCGCGCCGCCGCTGGGATAGCGCGTGGGGTGGTTCACGCGAACGAAGTCGAAGTATTATGCTAAGACTCACCACCCTGATGATGATAATTCGACGTCTCGCCCTGATGCTGCTAGTGGTGGTGATGCTGCTGCGAGCTCTGCGGCTGCTGATGCTGCTGCTGCTGGTGCTGCGTCTGATGCTGCTGCGGCTGGGATAGCGCGTGCTGTGGGGTTCACGCGTACGAAGTCGAAGTATTATGCTAGACTCACCACCCTGATGGTGATAATTCGACGTCTCGCCCTGATGCTGCTGGTGGTGGTGGTGCTGCTGCGAGCTCTGCTGCTGCTGATGCTGCTGCTGCTGCTGCGGCTGCTGCTGCGCGCCGCCGCTGGGATAACGCGTGCGGTTCCGCGAGTTGGTCCGATTGCGGCTCTGCTGCGGCTTCTGGCCAGAGTTGCTGCCGCGTCGGCTGTCGCGCTGCTGCCCGGAGCCACTGGCGACGGAGCCCACCTGCTGGGACAGAATGAAATTTTAACCTTACGATAGTGGTTTTCACAATGCTTCTGATATTTATTGAGTAAGTGTATAAAGCCTGGTCCGTGAGCACGTATAATCCCGTCCAATGACCCCAAGCTACCCATCCCTATCGCTCGCGCGTAATTATATTGCTGTCGCGACTGTGTGTGTGTGCGAGCGCGACAGCAACATAATTACGCGCGAGCGATAGGGATGAGTAGCTTGGGGTCATTGGACGGGATTCTACGTGCTCACGGACCAGGCTTTAGATGCGTTGCCGCGTTGTAGGCTTAAGCTTCAACCACACCAACGCGTGCAGATCGCCATCGCCGACGCGATCATGCGGTCGCGCGACCTGTGACAGTCCGTGCGACCTGTCATTATCCTATGATCGCGCCAGCGATGGCGATCTGCACGCGTTGGTGTGGTTGAAGCATTAGTTACGTGCACGAATAAATGGCGCTCGGAAAATTATTCTCTCCTAGCCCTGAAGTGAATAGCTCTATGATAAAATAAAACATAATTAAATATTTGTAGCCACATAAATGCAGGTTAATTTATCTTCCTTTTCAATAATTGTAGATATTAATTTAAATTATTTAGCTTTCCTGTAATTTTAATAATTTGTAAATGATTCAGCAGCAAAATAATGTTTTTGTTAGCATCACATTTGACACCTAATCAATAATAAGTAATTTTATTATTATAATATGAATAAAATTAATAAATTAAAACCTAAAATGGAATAAAAGATGAGTAGAACAAAAACGAATTTACGAAATTGGCTATTATAATCTCAATTAGAACTTACCTGAGTGCCTTGATCAGCCGTAGGGCTCTTCCTGTGTCCAACAGCAGGAGTACCAGACCTCGATGCACTCTGTTGAGAGCCTCCTCCAATAAGATCCAGCATTGAGCCTAAAACACAATTATACTTTAGTTCACATGAATAATTTAAATAAATGCCATAATTTTGCAAGCATAATTGGTGAATGACAATGCAAAATTAAAGCTGGGAGAAGTGAAATGCTAGTGTGCATAATGAGAAAAAATATCTAATAAAAATTCGGTACTTTGTGTACGACAATTTAGATTTGTGCATAAGAATACAGTGTTTTTCAGTTTCTCGTGAAATAAGCAACAGACCAAGGAATGCTTATGCAATTTGCGATTTTCAACTTTATATTGTTAGTTTTATTAGTACAGGTGGGTATATTAAACTTGTTGTTAATACTGCACTATTGGAAATTAAACTTGTTGTTAATACTGCACTATTGGAATTCATTTGATTGGAAAAATTGTTGTGTAACATTATTACAGGTTAGAAAGGAAATGTATTACCCTCAAATAATAATACATAATACTTTTATATGATGTTATAAATACTACAATACAGAAAAATAAATGGTGGGTAAAAAGTTAAACACTACTAAAGCATACACATAGGATGGATGGAGGTAAATGAAGAAAGCACACTTAAAACCTTCTAGAACTTACTGCATAATTTCTTCAACACAGACACTGTAGCAATAGATTTAATGGGACTACCCTCATCAAAATACTACAGTAAACATTATAAATGTTCACTATATTCTAGACCAAAATTGCAAAATCAATTCACAAAACAATTATAAAAGGTAACTTGTTTGACAAATATATTGATAAGTTCTAGAAAATCTAAGTAACTGCAATTAAAAATCGCAAGGCGGCATTTATGAAAGCATTGAAGCGAGTATAACCAATGAGGGAAACCTTGGTCTTTCACTTGGTTTAAGTGGTGTACCACTCCAGATCCGATCGGAGCGGTCGTGGGTTGAGGCTGTATCGCCAGCTCCACTGAGGTTTGCGGAGACAACTCACTGGTCTTGTTGAGTTGGGCATGCACACTTCCGGGGAAACCAGCCATTGGGTGGTACTGCGGGTATTGTGTCTGTCCAACAACCGGATGGTTGAACTGTCCAGCGTACTGCCCCGGGGGAGGTGCGCCTCCACCGAGCGATGGGGGCACTGACATCTGCATAATGGCAGGATCGTTGGGCAGAGAGGGGACATTGTTGAGCACCCGGATGTCTTTGATGTCAGAGCCACGGAACAAGATGTAATCGTACACTTGGCTTTGAGGTGCTACCGGGTACTGTGTCTCGCGGTCCTCAGTACCGAATGATCGCACTGTGAAAGAAATAAAAAAGCATTAACATATTTTCATACTATTGAAGCATACCTTCTAAGAAATTAATGAGTAAATTAAAAGTTAAAGTGTCAGGTAGGCATTGCAAGTGTAAACTATGATAATTTAGTCATGAAATAATGAATTTCTGCAGACAACTGTTGCATTGCCATTCTGAAATAGGAGCGTAGCAATTGTTTACAGGAATGTAGCAGATATCAACGTCATCAATGTGAAACTCCGGTCACTTTCTTAAGCTTAACAATTTATTGAGGGTAGAATGCAAACAACGTGCCACGTACGAAAAAACGAACGTAGAAGTTTCGAGAACGGCAAATGTAAAACAATTAGACTAAATAATCCTACAAACAATAAACAAAGATTAGATTTGTATTCTAGGAGGGAAGACTTACCTGTCAAAGTGGCGGTCAAATACAATGGAAAAGATATGTTTCTTTACAGACGCAAGAAATACAGGTATTGAACGTAAATTAAGTACCAGTAAAGGTGCTATGGGCATGTAAATTACTGCTATAAGAATCCATTTGTCAACTTACCGCTAGCCAAAGCGATGGTACATTCCTGAGGATCAACGGTAAAAAGTCTCCCTTCGTACCGAATATCTGCTTTCGATATTAGGCTTATCTTGGAGCCTAATTCAGGCATTCCAGAACTCATAGTGTCACTTTAAAAATAATCCACCGATGACAAAGATTTCTCCCGATATCGTCGACCGTGAAATATCAGCCACCGAACAAAATGACTGACGGGAAGTTGGCAACAAGCGCGGCGTTTACAAACAGCTGGCCAAAATGAGATGGCAGCAGCGGAAGCCTATACAAAGTGGCGACATCTATGATTTTTAACATAGTTTATCTGTGAAATAAAATAAATATCTTCAATTATTTACAATTACAATGATTTTTTGATTAGTTTTACCATAATTAAATATGATAAATAAAAATAAATGTAAAAACAAACAAAACATGACGCGATATAAAGCATAGAGAAAAGTGATATAAAGCGATATTGGATAACCAGAGACAATATTTTGTACTTACGTTTATATTCCTTTGCTTACCTTTCAGCAAAGATTTAAAAAAATGTTTTTGTTTATGATGAATGTCAAATTTGATTTTTGGCGCGAAAGTACTTTACTAATCCCCATACTTTGAAATCTCTAGTTAAATTTATTAACATTAACAAAATTAATTTGTAACAAGCAAGAGCTAGCAGAAAACTAAACCTCCACATTTGTGTTTATTTTTATGTGTTATGTTTATGTATACGGGCCTGCAAGTGAGAAATTGGTTACCGAAGACTGTAAGAGGGTGGGTACCCAGGCCCCCTTACCAGTAAATGCTACTGGTCTAAAAGAAAGCCACAAGGAGCTAGTACAGCAAGTCTTCCACCCTGGCCTATTCCTGGCCAGACCCAGAAGTGTATCCCTGAGCTCCATAGCAGATACTCAAAGCCAGATTACCATCTCCAACAATGAGGATACCGAATCCGAAAACTCGAATCCCCCCAAGTGGCAGAGAGTTCCAGTGCTACACAATGCCAAAAAAAGAAAAGCGGTTTCTTCACCATCGCCAGAAAGAATTATAGTCACAAATCAATTCAGCTCGCTTCCTGTAGACCCAGAGGAAAATAACGAAAGTGAAAACCCTCCCAAGATCTCGAAACCACCTCCTATAATCCTTTATGGAATTGAAGATCTCTCTAAGCTCACTGAGCTACTAGAAAATGTTGCCAGTAAAACCGACTTTATATACAAAATAATTAACAAAAACCAACTTCGCTTGAATTGTGCTGATGTAGAAGTATATAAATCCATATTAAATGTTATCCGAGAGAAAGGACTCATTGGACACACATTCAACAGAAAAGACACCAGACCTTTTAGAGTTGTTATTAAGAATCTTCATCACTCAACGCCTATTAGCAGTATAATAGAAGCTCTTGAAGAAACAGGGAACACAGTTATTGGAGAGATAATAAATGCAAAATATGGACCTGAAAAGAAACCCACCTCCACATTTTTTGCTACCCTGCAACAAAACCCCAACAATGAAGCCGTTAGGAGCATCAAATACATTAATCATCAATCAGTTGTCATAGAACAACCACGAAAACGAAACACAATTATTCAGTGCCAAAAATGCCAGCAATATGGACACTCCAAAAACTATTGTATGCGACCATACCGCTGCGTAAAATGTGCCCAAGGACATAGAACAGCAGACTGTCCTAAAACCGATCGGAATACTCCTGCAAAATGCGCCCTATGCTTTGGTGCACATCCAGCCAACTTCAAGGGTTGCGAGGTATACAAGGAAATACTATCCAGGAAGTCAAACAAACAGGCACACATAAAGGCTAGAGGAAGAATAATACAATCGGAAAACACAGATAACCAGCAAGTGTTAGTAAATCGGACACTTGGTGCTAAAACCGACAGAAAGCAAAAAACACAACCTCAAGAAATAACAGACAGCAACAAAAATGAGAGAGTAAGTTACGCAGATGCATTGAGAAGGAATAAGAACGAAGAAACAACAACATCAAATAAAATCGAAGAAATGCTCCTCAAACAAGCAGAAAAGTTTGACATCATATTACAACAAATGAGCACGTTAATTAACCTCATAACAACCTTGGTAGCTAAAATTTCACAATGACTTCGTTAAAGATGGCTGCGTGGAACCTAGACGGGCTATCTCCAAACTTAGCTGAGGTAGAGGTTCTTTTACATTCACACAACATAGACATCTTACTGGTGTCTGAATCCCACTTAACTGATAAAAGTAGTATCCGTATACAGAATTATAACATTTACACTACAAACCATCCAGACGGTACAGCACATGCAGGTGCTGCCCTAATTATAAAGTCAAATATTAAACATTATGAATTGCCACAATTTAAAAAACCACATATACAAGCAGCATCGGTTGCAGTAGATGACCAGGATGGAACATTTAATGTGGCAGCCATATACTGCCCCCCCAAACACACTATAAAGGAAGAGCTTTATAATGAACTGTTCAACACACTTGGAAAGCGCTTTATAGCTGGTGGTGACTGGAATGCAAAACATGTACACTGGGCCTCTAGACTCACCAGCACGAGAGGAAGAGAGCTCAAGAAATCTATAGACAAGAACAACTTGACTGTAATCTCGCCCACTGAACCGACCAATTGGCCGACTGACCCTAATCGCCTTCCTGACGTCATAGACTTCTTCATCGTCAAAGGGCTATCAAGATTCTCTCATGACATACAAACTTGTTTGGACTCTAACACTAATCACGTTCCGGTAATCCTGACTATCGGCAATACAGTTCTAAACATAGAACATAAAGCAAAACTCTACAACAAGCGTACCGACTGGAACTCTTATCGGGAATTGGTTCACGAAAAACTGGATATGAAAATAGATCTGAAAACCAAATCAGATGTTGATAATGCTGTTCGTAAAATAACATCAGTCATTCAGGAATGTTGTTGGTTATCCACGCCTGAAGATTCAAACAGACATCCACAGAGTAAAACGTACTCTGATTTGATAAGGCAGAAGANCGTAAAGGAGACTGTCCTGCAGTTACCCTAAACGGCGTCCAATTACCACACCAAGAAACTGTAAGATACCTGGGCATGTACTTGGACCGTAGACTTAATCAACCGTAGATTAAATCTACCTTAACAAACCCGAATTGCATTTATATCTAGAGTAAAAATAAATAATTTGTATGATTTCTGCAACATTGACTGTGACCCAGTATATTATTTTTGTTTACGCAGACACTGTATGTTGGATGTTTTTAATAAATTATGTAGAACAAGCAATATTATGTAGCACATTGTATTGATTTTAAATCTTAAATGTAACTTGTGTAGATTTTAATTTTTAATTTAAATATTATTATGTATACATATTAGATTATATATTTTGCTGGAAATAGTTCTATTAATAAAGTAATGTAAGCCTCTTTTTTGCCTGAGATACAGGAATTATAATTCTTAGTTCAGGCACGTATGTACTTTTACCTATTATATAGTTTAATATTAGCCTATTGTTAAAAACTGTCAATAAGTTATTCAATAAAGAATTATTTATTTTATTTATTTTATTTACTTACGTGGAGTAAACATGTACAAACCAAACGAGACGAAATTAATCTAAAATACAAGGGTCTCTATTGGCTGCTGGGCNCTTTGACAGGTGACAATTAAACCATAGACAATTGCCATATGAAAAACACACTTTTCCAATATTTTTGTTTGCCATGAGATTCTGGTAGACCTATAACATATTAAGTGTATGCAAATGAAATAAAATAGTGCAACATCAGTATCAAATTCTATCAAGAAGTCCTATGAAGTAAAAACTACTGTGGCTAGACAAGTGAAATTTTTTTGGACGAATCGAAAATCGAATCCGTTCACGGTTCACGGAGCGATGTATCTCCATACAAATAATAACCCTGAAAACAGCCTATCATCATTATCATCTATCATCCTTCATTATATCAAGTGATATCATATAATTAACCCAAGTTCCATCCCATCCCACTTGGTCCCATTTTGTAACTCGTCATGAACTCGTCTCACTCACAAACTCACGAAATGGCACAAATCAAGTCGGCCTCGACGTGTATTGTCAACATAAAAAAAGAAGATCTCTATTCCTTCGCACCTGTTAAGTGTGCATAGTCCTTTATTAAAATAAAACCGAAGAGTTGGCTGTATATCATAAAGCCCTTGCATTTTCCTACAAAAGGAAAGAAAAAAAAAACAAATTTGATTTTTGACTTGACACATGAAGCTGTCAAAAAAAAAGCCAACGGTCGTTTGAATTTCAATTTCATCGAAAATATTATTTTTCATTTCGTATTATCTACAAACAATAGTGAATTAACTAATTCATTTAAAAGTGCAAGTGTTAATACACTGTACAGTTTTGTATATCAATGTTACAATGGTGTTGGAGACTCCAATAAGTTCGCGAGCTGGATTCCCAAGACTCAGCAGCAGTGGCGGGAGCGCCAACAGTTCCATCCGACGACGGAGTCTCATACCGCAGAGCCGTGTAGCAGCAAGAGTTGAGGTAAATAAGAAGCTTTCATATTCCTTGCTTTATTAATCTAAGATTCCTTGCAAGTTTGTTAATTAAATCACCAAAACTGTTTATTGTTGACTGTGTACATCTAAACTAGGGTTTCTGCTCGAGCTTTCTCGAACTCGAGAAAACTCGAGAAATTTGGCTTCATTCGAGACGAGAAAAAAATTACCGGAGCTCGAGAATTCTCGAGTTTCGATTTTGAAGCTTTAATATTCTTAAAAGCCTATTTTCTTAGACAAAAGTAAGTTTTTAATTATTTAATAGTCAACGTTGCTTTTAGACTGGCCTAGACTTTCCTTTTTTAACTGATTTGATTTGCAAAAGTAATGATCTCAATCGAAACTAAGTAATAATGTTCACCAACAAGTATGATATATTTATTATGTAGGTATGTTTAATCTGACTGATTTAAAGACTGAAAAATTTGTTAACTAGACAGTCACCTTACCTAACAGACGTTAGGTTAGGTACTCGTGCCTCCTCGTAATGTTTATTCAAGTCGTTATCTGTAAGAAATTTAAAAATTTATTAAAAAGTTTTTTTTTGTTCATAAAAAAAACTATTTATCGTAATTTTGCTATTTGAACTTGTGTTCTTTAGAAAACAAGTGATTCAATTGTAGCTCCAGATTTTTATTGTTATTTATCCTTAAAGTACATGCGACTTTATGACTTTTGTTATTAATCAGTAGGTAAATATTAATTATGAAAGATTTTATTTTTTGTTTATTTCCTTACCAAAATAAGTGTTACTAAATTCTAATATTGATTGTTGTGCATAAAAGTAGGTATAATAGATTAAAAAAACCTGTGTTTTTATTAAATTTCAACCGATTTCAGCAGTTTTCATTAAAAGACTCGAGACCCGAGAAAACTCGAGACTATGGCCTCGAGAATTCTCGAAACTCGAGAAAAAAAATAGGTCGAGAAATCAGAAACCCTAATCTAAACCAGCGTTGCCAGTTTTTTTTTTCACCAAGTCGGGACTTTGGTACTTTTTAAGTGAAAATAGCGGGATTCTTCCGTCAGAAGCGGGACATAGTAAAAAAACGTATAATAATCAAAGGTTTTCAAATATTTATCTTTTTATTTGACTTAAAATTACGTTTACGTGACAATAGAAAGCAAAAGTAGCTATAGAAAATGTATTTTAACCCTCCGTGTATGAGGTGACTAAAAGTTACGTCCCGTACCAGGTGGGGTATGACACACCCCAATATACAAAGTGATAGTTTTCATTCAACATTTTTTTAGATGGAATTTAATATTTAATATTGATTATTTACGTGTGCTAATTACGTTTAAGAAATGCTCTGAGCTGAAAATATGTATTATAACATTTTTATCATAAAAAAACAAAAAGACACAATTTCCGTTGTTCTTGTAATTTAGGAATCAGTTTCCTATGTATAATTTTTAATTAGTGCCTTTAATTATGACAACCGTTTTTATTTCACAAAGTACAAGTAATTTACTTATAATTTTAAAGTAAATTAAAAACTGGAAGGGTATAAATTTGTTTTGATCATCGGTTTTCAATTTACCACAATTCTGATGAAAGAAAATGAGTATGCTCAATGCATAAAATGGGAGCGTAACAATTTTATTTATTTATAAAATATGTTATTCCATTTCAGGAGCCCATAAATTGTATCACCAAGTATAAATTGTAGCCCATAAGTGTATGTTCACATACATCTTCGGGTCTCAGTACTAAATTTCCAGATTCGCACTAAAAGTCATCTCATTTGACTAAAAGTGCTTGAAAATTTCAGACACCGTAAAAATCACGAAAAAGAATATTTGTATTGAATTTTATTCAATTGACAAAGCTAAAAATATAAAAATTACACCAAAACTGTTAGATTTTTTTTAAAACTTTTTAACAACGTCCCGTACCAGGTGGGGTGTGTGACACCCACACGCACTTTAAAGGCATGTAACTCAGTTGGTAGTTATCGCTGGACTGATTTTGCAACGCTGATCGAAGCAGCAGTGTCATAATTCCAGCTACTGAGAATTTCAAATTCAGCACTTGCAAATTTTTAAAATTGTGGCTATTTTTAAAGGACTGGGGTGTGTCACACCCCACCTCGTACAGCGAGGGTTAACAATAAAAATAATATTTTAAATCAGATTTAGTACGTACGCCACGTACGGTCGAGTTCTCTCCGAAAAGCGGGACCGAGCCTGTCCCGCGCGGGACATTTAAATTTGATTTAAAAATCGGGACGTCCCGCCAAAATCGGGACGTCTGGCAACGCTGATCTAAACCTAGGCTTTAGTAACCAAGTACATAAATATCATAATGTTAATGAAATCTGAATACATCTCCATTGTAAGCAAAGGGTTCTGGATGTGATGTTTGTTAGATATAACTAGTGTTAATTCTAGAAAGAAATTAAACTTATCTATGCTGCCAAATAATTTTGTAATTTGAATTTAAATGAGTACTTACTACAATTAGGATCTGCTTAACTTCACTTACTTAGTTACTGGTTAGTTATGCTGGTTTAAAAGTCAATAAAATTGATGTCCACAGTTTTCTTATTGTTATGATTCCCCCAGGATCAAAATGATGATGATGCTGAGCGTTCATCCCTGGTGGCATCGGAGCGGGCGGTGGCGACGTCCACACCGCAGGCATCTCCCCGGCGTGGACGGGACACCATGTCCTCGTCCCCACAGAAGGAACACTTCCAGGGATGCCTCAAGCTGTATGCGGAGAATGTACGTCTAAGGTCTTAATTACAAAAGATGCTCTAAACTTGATTCAAACTCAAGCACATCATCTGTTTGATCTAAAATTTATTACTATTGAAAAGTTACTTATTATTCATAACAAAAAACTATCGAAACTTTGTCTACATTTTGATTACTAAGAAGAATTAATTTCTTTTCCATGAATCTGTTTTTCTTTCAATAATTAGTTTTGGAAATTTTCCAATATTAAATTATTTAAAAAAAGAGTTGGATAATTTTTAATTATTTGTTGCATTACATACATATTGCACCACAATAATGAATTACCTTTTCTTTTCTAGAAAATAAACAAAGACAATGCATGGAATCTACAACTGATAGACTTTATGACTTCGATGTTACGACGGCATGACTCCCGCATGGAAAACCTTCAGACAGCATCCACGGTAGTGGACGCTTCGGCGAGGATATACTCTTTTAGGGTAGACGCTGTGCACTATGACGTGCTGAAAATGGCTGGTGGATTAAGCAAAGCTGCTCAGGTAAGATAATGTCAAGTTAATTTTAGTCCGACTATACTTATATTTTTTATTACATAGTAACTAACACACACAGGCCATGAGGCCACTGAGATACGAGCATATGCTTGGTGCAGAGATGGGTAGTCTAAAATTGTACATTTGACATCATATAGAAGTAAACCTCACTTTTATTTACTGTTACATATTCACTTTAGATGTAGTCTAAAAGTACGATGGACTGAAAAGATTGCTCATTTATCAATCGCTTCATGTTGTACACCGATGTTAAACATTAACTTAGATCAAAATTTAACCTCATTTAAACAATTTTTAGACAAAAAGAGGTAAAAAAGACGACGACGGACTCACGCAAGACGAAGGGGCGGTGGATGGCGACTCCGCTCCCGCCAAGAAGCAGAAGAAAAAGAGATCTAAAGGCGCCATCGCTGCCAACCCTGAGGTGTTCAATGGAGATTTTGATTCTAACGATTGTATAGGTAAGGCTAACACTAATCTAAGAATTTGTCTAAGGTTGAATAGAAAAAAGATTCTACCCTTATGGTAGAAAAAGAAGTAAACGTAATATTTTCTCATAATTCTTGTGAAAAGAAGACAGTGTTTTCACTTTCTTGTATGTAGTATTTTTTTTATTTAAAACATTATCTAAAAAGTTTCTATTATTCTCATTTAAAACTTTTTCATTTACAGATCCATTTTTCGAGAGGCTTGCTGCAACAACGGGCGATGTGACGTCATCGAATCGAGCATTCAATGCTTCTTTGCCTATTCATGACAAAACATTAGCTTTAATTTTGAGGTGATTATTTAGTAAAACTGCCTTAAAACTAAGTCAAATAAAAAAAATAATTTACAAGTAGGCTTATAAAAAACTCTTTTACACAGTTTTTATCAAATTAATCCTTTTTCCAGAACTGACCTAAATTTCCTGGAGCCTATCAAAGAGAATGTCCCAGAAGAAATGGAACTGACAGAGCGAATATCTCTAGCTATGAAGCTGCTGCCAGCATTTACTGAGAATGATCAGATATGCGAGCCTTTTACTGGCTTCTCAATAAGCAACTGGGACCCTGATAGTGAAGATGTGTAAGTTGATTATAAATTTTTTGTTTTAATCTTCTTGACTTTTTAAGTTACCTTTAGACTGCCAGTGTTCATACCTATTTTTAAAATCCCATATTTTTAAAAATAAGTTTTTGTGTATCTTTTCTTATTTGTATGCAGTGACCGTGTAACCAACTGGGTGGAGGAGAACCGATTGAATTTGTCGCAACAAGCGCTCGCGTTTGACGTGAATGCCGAGGTGGAGCCTATACCACAGGATGAAGCTCACAATGACTTGTATGGTGAGTTTATCAACCTGTATACTGTAGTCAAGTAAAGTCGGAAGTTGAAAAATAAAGAATTGAGTTTGGGAATAAAAATTTATTATTGCCCAACTAAACTTATTTTTAGATAAAAAGTAAAATGCTATTTTTGTAGCCTCATTCTGTGTTTTTTTTTAGCTATATTAATTAAGGCTCTGTTAGTCAGCATAGGCGTTCGACAGTTTATAGTAATGCAGGTGTAGTGTACTCATGTGCCTCAAAAAAAAAAGAGACTCCGCGACAATATGACGTGTGACGACGTTGTCATGACGTCTGCACTGCGCATACGTTCACAGAACGCGTACCCTGAAGCGTTTATCAATATAAACTTTGCCATTTCACAGATGACGAGCCCCTCGGCGGCATCGACAGCGAAGAGGAAGCCGAGGCAGCGTTAGCCGCGTGCGCGCCGCGAGTGGCCGCCTGCCCGCCGGCGCGGCTCACCGACATGCGGCCCGGCGCACCGCACGACTCGCGGCTCGAGTATTCCTACTGTGGCTCCATCGTGGCCGCCTGGGCCGGGCCGGCGCACTGGCGCCTGCGCAACAACAGAGGTCAGTGACCCGCGCACCACCGACATGCGGCCCGTACTGCGGCTCCATCGTGGCCGCCTGGGCCGGGCCCAAGCACTGGCGGCTGCGCAACAACAGAGGTCAGTGACCCGCGCACCACCGACATGCGGCCCGTACTGCGGCTCCATCGTGGCCGCCTGGGCCGGGCCCAAGCACTGGCGCCTGCGCAACAACAGAGGTCAGTGACCCGCGCACCACCGACATGCGGCCCGGCTAGGGTTGCCAGGTCCAAAAACACAAAATCCGGACTCTGTGCTTCATTTGGCCGGACATTTTACTCTAAAAGCAATTAGTGTCATAGCTCACGAGTGAGTACTATCATCATCGGTTGCCCAACGTCCTGATGCGTGCGCTTCATATCTGTGGTTCGACTTTTGCCTGGCGCGGCAGCAAAATAAAAAGCCGGACAGGCCGGACAAGACCGTAAAAAGCCGGACACCTGGCAACCCTAGGCCCGGCGCGCCGCACGACTGTACTCCTAGTTTATCGATAAGAAAAACATCGAACTATGTACATCATGCATTGAGGACAATAAATATAACATAATGGCGCTGTGGCAGGGCCGTCTTTAACCTACTAGGGGTTCTGGGCACTCAAAGGGGGCCTTTGTCATCTGGAAAAAGGACTTTTTAACAGATGGGGGCCCGCCTGCAACCCCCTGGGCTGGTGCCCAAAGTGCCTAGTGGAAAAGAGGGGCCTGCTAAGGCCTTGGTTTCCACCAAGGTAGCGCGTTTCATTTTCCAATAATGAATGAAATCTAATTGGCCAAATTTCTGCGCTTCGCTCCGCCTTGGTGAAAACCGGGCCTAAAATATCTTGATTAACTACGTGGAATAAAAAAAACTCTTGCTAGTTTAAAATACCGAATGTTACAGTGAAATATATATTCATAATTATTAAAGTAACAATATTATTATTTTCAGCATCAAAGCAATCCGAGCGGACCCAATCCACCGGCGGCCGACTAACAGTAGAAGGCAAGAAGCCTCCGCGGACGAAACGTCAACTAGACTTCCAGAACGCCGGCCTAGCGTTCGACTGCCGAGGGACTCCCGTAGGCGAGTACGAGCCCGCTCAGCCGGCCAAGATCATGATCAGCAGGAAGACGCTGGCCACGGGGCACACGTGGAACGAGACCAACTTCAAGACGCCTATTGACAGGTAGGTGTATAAAATAGTAGTCTAAAGTCCGGTCGCCGAGCTCGTAGAATTTCGTCCAATGACCCATCCTTATCGCTCACGCGTAATTATATTGCTGTCGTGACAGCGACGGGCGGCCGCAGTGAGTGTGCGAGCCTGACTTTAGAATAAATGAGAATTATCGTTTTTATACGCAACAGTTCGCACCACTGGCGATTGACATGACCATATTCTACATAAATGGCACCATCCTTGGCACCACTGTCCCTAGGACGTGAGTGCAAATGCGACAGTCCTCCTATCGCTTCAGCGCTCACCACTTGGCGCCATTAGCAAGTGACAGTAACCTTACTCTACAGTGGCGCCAACTGGTCAGCGCTGTAACGATAGCCCTCATTGAAACGACTGCTTAGACGCTAGCTCCCGTGAGACAATACGAACCCGCTTGCATAGTTTTGATCCGTAAACACTGGTTTCTTGAAAATTTAAAATATTTATTTGCAGAATGTGGTACATTAGATGTTACATTATAACACTACTTGAAACAATTTTGAATGAGATTTGTGTCATAGAATACTAAAAATCTTCGTATTTATTAGCGTATTAAAACGGCCCTCCTCTAAGCTAAAGACGCAGGTTCACACAAATGTTATCTCAGTGTAGAAGAAGGTTTTTATGCTTTAGGAACTATAATTATTTTCAATGACATCATCATCATCAACAGCCCTTTACAGTCCACTGTTGGACTAAGAGCCTCCTCCATTATAGTGGAGGGTTTTGCCATAATCCCCATGCTTGGCAGGCGGGTTGGATTTTTTATGTATTTCTTTTTAATAAATAGTATTTTTTCCACTGTTTTTCATTGTTCCTGTTTTACAAACTCAATATCTTCCATTTCCAGAGGCCTAGACGAATCCCACTTCCGCAAGCTATTCCTGCGCCGCAACGTGATGCTTCTACGCAAGCGGGACCTGGAGCGGAGCAAGCAGCCGGAGCCCGAGCCCTGTGTGGAGGAGGCGCGCGACTACGACTACGACAACGAGAACGACGCCTCGTACTGCCCCAACAACGTGCCTGTGAGTAGTGCGGCCCTCCGCCGTGACGTCACGCTTCTCCGCAAGCGGGACCTGGAGCGGAGCAAGCAGCCGGAGCCCGAGCCCTGTGTGGAGGAGGCGCGCGACTACGACTACGACAACGAGAACGACGCCTCGTACTGCCCCAACAACGTGCCTGTGAGTATATCATCATCATCATTTAGGTTCCACTGCAGGAGGACAACCAGTGGCGTAACTATTGGGTGGCAGAGCTGTCAAAATGCCACGGGACCCACCTCCGACCTGTGGGGCCTCGATGATATAACTAAAATAGAAAGACACGGGTCTTAGCTAAATGAGTTAACATTATGTCGATTCAACGATCCTTGATATTGCCCTAATATAACAACTTCCCTTCCCTGTAAGTAAATATCATCATCAGGTTATTTAGGCTCCACACTGAAGGAGAACAAGGAGTCTTAAGCTTCGCGTTTGCTCTCGCTCCAATTCTTACCGATTTTCTTCGCTACAGTGCGTCGCCAAGTTTGCTTGACGCGATCACATTTGTCTTTTCCTTAGGGGTTTCAATCCTGCTTGGGGATGTGATCGGGGTCCCTTCGGAGAGTGGCTGATCCAATTTTAATGTTAAAATGTGAACTAACATTTCAAACATAATTATATGGTGTTTATTTCAGGATGGTGATGACTGGGGCAACGAAGACGCGACAGCTGCGGGCGATTTACACGAGCAAGTAAAGGCGGCCGAGCCCGAAGAACTTGGTGACATGCTGGAACCACCGACTAAGGTAACTACCATAAACTAAATGTAATAGAAACCACATAAGTACAACTATAGAGGAAAAAATATTAGTGACTTGGCAACGAGAACTAAGCATATTTGTATAATTTACAGGTGGCGAAAATCTTCATACCATACGCGATGCGAGCGAAAAAAGTTGACATGAAACAACTAAAGCAATGCACGTGGAAAATGCTGACAGAGAAGACTCCAGAAGGCGATATAGAAGATGTTTCTCCATCTACATTCTTCTCCATATACACGCGGCTACCTAACAAACTGTCCAGTCATATGAGAGAGTCGCTCAGTGTGCCGCTAGCCTTACTGTCAGTGCTGCATTTAGCAAATGAGAAGGGACTCATCTTGGAGAAGAAAGACGACTTGAAAGATATTGGGATTGTCGGACTTATAAAATAAATAATCAAGTATACATTCAATGTGAACATTGCCGGTTTGTGGTTAAGTTCAATATCACACAGACGCCATTTTATTCATTTACGAATGACAATTTGGTGTTGTAGAATGTAGTAGGAAAATATATTTGTCACAACTAAAGAATTTACTAGTGCCTAATGCTGAGCATTAAATTGTACATAATAATTAATGAACTGAGACTTTTCCAATGATATTTTGTGTGCCAGTTGTAAACTATAAGTTTCATGATTGTACAGATCTTTTTGTAATAGATTTTAATTTTGTACTTTATTTTTCTGATTAATTGTTAAGAAACAAAACTTTAACTAATAAAGTATGTAATGTATTTTTATTTACTTGTTTGCTTTCAAACCCATTCATTACCAGTCCAAATGAAGTTGAATTTGATTAAAAAAAACCCACCGCAAAAAGAAAAAGTTAAGGAACGAAGAGCTGCTGATGACATTGACAACGGCTGAACCGATTTTGATGAAACATGTCTATGAAGCACGTGCCTCGTAGGTTACTCATGATATGAATCGCCCATGAATCCTAAGGGACCACGTTCTTAAAGCTTGTGATCCCGTACTTAGCTTTTACGCACGTTATTGTGTTGTTTCGTCTTGGAAAAAGCAGGTTTCTTAAAATGTTAAGTTTCCTTTTTTAAATAATAAATGAAACCACATCATAATCGGTCCATTCGTTTAGGAGCCCGTTTGCGTAAAGCACCATTAAGCCCACCAAAATGTTGAGAGGCTTGTGATCCGAGTATAACATTAGCTCTTTTTTTTAAGTTGGGATTTAAAAATTTAAGGATCTTTACTTTTAACGTGAGAGAGATGGTTTAATAAAACAAGTGATACTTTATACAGAACTTTAATGTTTTCTAAACAAACAATTCGCAAACATAACTATCTGTGATTATAGAAAATCAACTCCATCTGTATTACAAAACAATCATGTAGTTACACTGGTATATATTTTTATTATACATAAGAGGGATGAATCACTTACTTTTAACTGGTTGAAGGTGTTTTAATAAAAGCATTAAGGTAACCTATTTTCGTGTATAGTTTTGCATTAAACTCCACCAAAGGAATGTACGTACAGGGGATACATAACATACATTTTAAACTTATAAAATAAAGAAAATCTGCGTAAACAACGCAAATCAATATTTCAACAGAACTTAACATAAAAACAATTATAAAACGTAAAAATGAGTATTAACGACAATAATTATAATTATCACGTTTAAACGTCGAAAGGATTAGAAATTATATCATCACACTGCCAACCATACTCATTCATATAATCGTAACTCACTGGTTAACGTCTAGGACGGGATGAAAACAATGGCTTAGAATTTCAAGTAGTTTTAACACAATTAGTCACAAACCATATAAAAAATAGTGTCGATCACACAGTAGACACTCATTCGTAATCTTAAGTTAATGTGTCATAGACTCACAAAAATAAAATATATAAAAAAGAAATACTAGTTAAACGCAATGAAAAAATATACTTATTTATTCACTGAGACGTCACCTCCGCTTTATTTACATCATCTTTTTTGACATCCTCTTTAGTCTGGTCCACAGCCTTAACTTCAGCAGTCGATTCTGCTTTCTTTCCCGTAGGACTTTCCTTCACAGGCGATCCCTTCGAGGGTGATTTGTCTTGATCACCGCTCGTGTAGCCAGTATCGGTATTTATAGAATCCTTGGACTCCTCTCTTTCGGGGGTTTTGATAGTGTCATTAGAATTTTCCAAAGTTTCGCTAGAAGTATTTTTTTCTGGACTAGCGGTTATGTCATTGCTGCTTTCCTCTGAGGCGAGGGCGATATCGTCACTCAAATTGTCGGCTTTTGCGTCAAAGGACTTATTTTCTATGACAGTGTGGTTGCTATCTAAGCTTTCATCGAGGTCTGGCTGTGACGTATTTAAATCAGTCTCGGCATCAGCAAATTCGTCATCAGCTTCTTTAGCGTCTCCGCCGCCCTCCTCTATTTTACTGATTTCAACATTGTCAGTATCTTTAACTTCTTTATCAGATACTTTTTCACTACTGTCACTAGCATCAGTATTTTGTTTCGATACAACAGTACTTGTTTCTTGTATAACTTCTTTAGCTGCCGGTTCTACTGTTGATGTAGCTTCAACCTTAGGTTCTGTATTCTCTGTTGAGGTAACGGCTACCTCATTTTGTGGCTCTTTTGTTTCTACTTGAGTATCGGCTGTTGATTCTACTTTTTCACATTGTTTAACTTGAGCCTCGGCTTTCGTTTCAACTACTTGAGCGTCTGTTTTCGTCCCAACTTCTTGGGCCACTTCCGTATCAGTTACTTGGGCCACTTCCGTATCCGTCACTTTGACCACGTCCGTATCCGTTAATTGGGCCACTTCAGTTTTTGCTACTTGGGCCACTTCGGTATTCGCTACTTGGGCCACATTTTCGGTATCTTCTACTTGAGCAACGGCTTCCGTTTTCGCTACTTCCGTTTCTGAAGAAATTAGAGAAGCCACATCTTTGCCATCTAGGAACACCTTTACAAGTATCGGTTCCTTCGTGCTATCTAAAAATTCTATCCGGAATGTGTGCGTTTCATCGGATGCCAATTCATCCAGCTTAGCTTTCGCAGATTCACTCGTGGAACTATCTACAGTGATTCCAGCCAATCGACAGCATTTAGCCAATGGTTCGATCTGAGATAAGTCTTCTGGCAGTTGCCGGAATTGCTCACACTTAGCTTTGTTACCGTAATCGATAAATTGAACGTGGTATGCACTATCGCAGAATTCCAGGATTTTCGCTCGGTACCACTGCTCGTCATCATCCCAGAAAGCTGCGCATAGCGCTCCAACTTTCAATTCGGGAGCGGCCTCAAACTCGGCCGCACCGTCCAAACTGTCGGTCACCTTGTCAAGATCAGCTGACGTGTCATTGAGTTGAACGTAGAATTCATCCACTGAGTTCACGTGGCATATGATGCCGTCACTATGCAGATCTTGACCGACGGGTGTCGGTCGCTCGCTCACCGGCTGTTCCGTTTGCTCCTCGCAGAGCCCGACTAGTTCCTCGGTGACCGACTTGCCTTCCAAGTATAACTCAACGATAGATATATCCCCGGACGCTATGAACTGTACGTTAAAAATAGTAGCACCCTCAGCTGCCAATTCGTTAAATTTAATCTCCGATTTACGCGACCACGTTTTGATGTCTCGCGGTTTTTGAAGGGCACACTTTCTGGATAGCGCCGGTTTGACTTTAAGTTCGTCGGGCAGACTGCGCAGCTCATTAGCGATAGACGCGTTGCCGTAGTCCATGAACAGGACCTCGGTGCCCTCCGATCCGTCGACGATGACTTGGGCTCGGTACCACTCCCCGTCTTCGGGGTATTTAGCTGCGCAAATGACACCTTCCTCCTTGTCCTTGAGCTCCGGGAAATTTTCGGCGTCTACCATGGCAGACTCCATCGCTTGCAACTCGGGAGCGGCAGTTTCCAGCTGAATCCAGAATTCGGAGGGCGAGTTGACGTGACTGGCGAAACACGACGGCAGGTCGCCTCCGCATTCCGTCTCCTCGGATCGCGCCGCGTAGCCCTCCGACACCAGTTTATCTGTTAGGTTCTGGCCGTTGATGAATATGTCCACGTATGTGGTGACGTCTTTGAGCACTATTAGAGCGTCGACGGCCGTGGAGAAATCTCCCACGAGTTGGGTGAAGAAGTCCGAGGCCGGTTCGGACCACTGGCCGGTGCCAGTCGGGACCGCGTTCACGCTCGACTTGATCGCGTATCGCTCGATTTCCTTGAACTGATCGGGCATCGTTTTTATCAGACCGGGCTGGTTGTCCAATACGTCCGTGTTGCCGTAGTCGATAAAGCGGACCGTGGTTATATCCGAATCCGAGTCCAGAATTTCAGCGCGGTACCACTGATCGTCGGCGAGATATTTGGCCACACAGAGCGTGCCCATCTCGCGGTTTTCAACGTCAGGGTAGCTTTCGGCGTTGGCCTGCAACTCCGCTTGGATCTCCTCGATTTTGTCGACCTTATCGGCCATTTGCAGCCAGAAGTGCCCGGGCGTGTCGACGTGGCTGATGTAGACGCGCGTGCAGCCTTCGGGCGAGGCGGCGGGCTCGTCGGCCGGCGCCTCCGCCTTGGGCTCCTCACTGGAAGCGATCTGCGGCGTGGCCAGTTTCTCGTTGACGAGCTTCATGGCCAAATCCACGCCGTCGAGGTGTAAGCTGGCCAGCCAGCCGTCGTTTCCGAACGCTAGCGTCACCTGAACTTCCTTTTCCGTTGTCCATTCGGTAAGTTTCGCAAGAGCATCGTCCTGTAAAGCGACTAAGCCTAAACTAGCCACGAGGGCGAGTGAGCAAGGTTCGTAAAACTTGAGATCCAGAACCTTGAGGTTTTCTTTGGGGATAACCTCAGTGTTTCCGTAGTCGGAGAACTGCACCTTGATCTGGTCGTCGTCGTTGCTGATGACGGTGGCGCGGTACCAGTTGCCGTCGGTGGACTTCGCTGCGCATATCGTGTCCACGTCGAAAGTGGCCAGCGGTTCGGCTTGACCTTCACCTAGGAAGACAAAGGAAAATAGAAGTTTAGCCAAGTGAGATTTTAAAGATGTTTCAATCCGATATGTAATGTAATCAAGTCCGATAAAATTATTACAGCTGTTTGCAGATTTTGCAGCTTAAAATTTAACCAGTATAATAACTGTCAGGACAAAAGGACTAGTACATGGGGAAATACAGTGTTTGGACATATCAAAAGCAGATACACAATGAAATCTAAGGCTGAGTGGCACCTCCTAACTTTGACTGTAACTTTAACGATAACCGTTGCTTTTTGTATGGAGTTTGACAGATTTTTGACGTTTGTTAAAGTTAAAGTAAGATGGTGCAACCCAGCATTAAATTTATTAAACTTACCCTCTTCATAAAACTTGTACAAATCATCCAGCAGTTGCGCGATCTTGTCAGAATCCGCCGACTTGTGCAAGTATATCTCGTTGAGATTCTCTGAGTGGACCACATACGCGAGTCCGAAGTTGTAGTTGAATACTGTGCGCATGCAGAACGGAATCACTTCGTCGTAGGCGCCTTCGTCTGGGTTGATTATGGCGATCTTCTTGCCAGTCTGGCAGTCGTATAGTGTTGACACGAGGCTGGAAATAAAGATTTTGGGTTAATGAGACATTATCAATTCCTACAATTTTACATGATGTGCAGTAATGTTTTAAATTTTTTAAATTGCATAGTAAGATAATTAAGGAGGATAGTTGCCATTATTGCTATGACTGTCTAGACTAGAAATGGTGTTAGACGAGTTATATTTACGTCGTGTATAGCGACCTAAAAAGGGTTTATATGAAAATTCAAATTAAGCCACTGTGCGTGAGTTTCTGTGAAAAATAGTTTCAAACTAGTGGCGGAGTCTAAACCCTCTAGCGATGCTAATGTGTAGTGGACTCTCTTCTAACTAGCAACCCTTGGGCTATTGACGCCTCAAGAGACAGTTATTGTCAGGTCACAACACCCTAAAGGATTTGTTTATATTACAACATAAACAATATTTACCTGATCCCCTCAACATTGTTGATGTAAATAATGAACTTGTTGTTGGTGAGCTTCTGCTTCATCTCGTCCAGGGAGAGAAGCACCTCCGACTGCTCCGTGTAATTGTTGAGGCAGCATTCCAGCGACTGGTAGTAGTACACGCTTAGCTCCGTCGGCAGGATCATTAGCTGGAAGAAATGGTAAGCTAGTTTTAACTTGTATTTTTGTGGACTCTGAAAAAGACGTCCAATGTATCAGGGACGTATCTATAGATCGTTTCATCCACGAAGACGCGCCCCATCATTCTTCCGCTAATGTTTGAGTGTTATCGGTACACGCTAAATTATCTATGAGTGCACACGCACACTACAATAATGACGCTCGGATTGCTCGGATCAAACTCCCCGCACCCGCGCTCCCCTCGACCAAAAATTGGGCGCGTCTTTGTGGATGAAACGATCTATATTAACAGCTTCAGTAAGGTCTTGCTCAGATACAGCGAAAACCGCGCAGTTTTTGGGTGGTTCTTATTGACGAGGAACTGAGGCGGTAACCAAGCGGTTACGGTTTGATGCAAAAGTACGAGAACTGCCCAGAAACCGCGCTATTATAGCTGTGTCTTAATAAAGTCTAAACCTTTTTGTCAACCCGCTGACAAGTTACATCGTCGGTCGTGAGGTTAAACCAACTAGTGCTCAGAACGCTTCATGGCTTTTCTTCATTGCCACAAGGAGTCGTGTGCGTTTACCTGTTCCCGGAGAAACTTGAATGACCGTGATATAAAAAATAATTTTACAATTCTTTAATTACCTATGTAGTTTAACGTCAATATACAAAAATAATAAATCATGAATATCACCAGGCCAGGTTCAAAGCTAGACGATGGCACATCAAGGTTAATACTGTGTCATAAAGGTCACTCACCTTGTCCAAAGATGTGGTGATGATATTCCCATAGTCTGGCAACACCGCGGAGATTTTGCTGGAGTCGGAGACATCGTTCAGTATGGCGCGGTAGATCTTGTCGTCGTGCTTGACGGTGCAGTGGATGCCTTCAGCTAGGCTCTCGGCTGTTAGTGGGGTGAGCTGAAGGAAGTTATGATTAGCAATGAAAAATACTAAGTTTCAAAGACATTAACTCAATAAACAGCTTTTTTTGTCGAATTGAAACCTCATAAAGGTAGCAGAAATGCGCTGGATGCAGGCCGCTACTAACCGAAGTGGAAACCATTGGAGGAGGTCTTTGTTCAGCAGTGAACGTCCTGTGACTGAAATGATGATGATGAAACAAAAAAAATACGTATGAACTTGTTGGAGCTGATATTTTTCTGTTGGCCACGTTTTTGCCATTGGATCATTACGTAGGCAAAGAGAAACTAACTTCGAGGTTATTAAAGGTTTTTTGCTATCTTCGGAAGAATAGTGAAAGGTGAATCATTATTCTGTCTGTTGAAAGTTTATTGGACGTCTATTTGTGACTTTGATTGATTGCGTTGAAATGTTAAAAATAGATTATTTTCTTCAATAATATCAATGATATTTTACTAACTTTTGATGTATCAAAACTGGCGATGGCGTTCTCGACTAGCGCTGCCTTATCAAGGTCCAGTTGAACGTAGAATTTGTTGATTGACTCCACATACGTCACTCGGCACAGAATTTGCTGGCCTACGATGATTGTCAGGTCGATTGCTTCGTCTGGAAGAATAACAAAACATTATAACACAAAAAACAAACGACCACAGACAAGTGCAAAATTGAATTACTACCAACCTTTCAAAGTGACAGACGACTGGTGCTCCGACATAATAGCCAACTCTTTCTCAACCAGCATATCAGCCACGCTGACGCCATTGTTCCAAAGCGACACCTTGTACTGGTCTTCCACACACTCCTGGAAAACGCACTGGTATCGAGGAGCGTTGAAACACAGATCTATGCCCGGGTCCGCTTTCCATTCGCCGTCTTTCGGCGCAACGCCCACTAACGAGCAATGCACTGCCATCTTCGGCAGATCCATTAGCTGGCTGTCTAATTGCCAGATATCTTTCGCGTCAACTAGCTGCTTGTTTCCGAAGTCCACGTATCGGACTATGTATTTTGAAAACGGCTGTACGGATACTACGGTAGCTCTGTACAATACCCCATCAGCAGGGTACCGGGCCAGCACCGAGGAGCCTACACCGATGACTCCAGAGTAAGACTTCACACCCTTATACAGTTCAGGAATCATGTGCATCATTTCCAGGAATTTCGGTTGCAGTGACATGATCTGAGTATAGAAACTCTCCGGGGATATAATCCACGTGACCGACACCTCGTGTTGCGCGCCAATTTCGACGGTCGGGTCTGAGAATGCGGTGGTGTGATCCACTGGGTTAGGCAAGTCCTTGTATTGCACTTGCGGTGCGAATTTGCGCGGCGGTCGTTCTCTACCGCTGTCTTGGGACCGGAAACTTCTCTCGGACCGCTTGTCGCTATCAGACGCGTACTTTTCTGTTCTTTCGGCGCGGTCTCTGGGGGAGAAGTTGCTTCGAGGCGGTCTTTCCCGTCTCTCTCGGTTGTTGAAGTCCCGCTTCCCGTCCCGGTTCCAGTTTTCCTTCTTGTCGCCCCAGTTGTCCCGTTTCTCGCCGCGGTTGTCGCGTCGGTCGGGCCTGCCCTCGCGGCTTTTGTTGCCCCAGTCATCGTTCGAGTTATCCCCTTGGTCTTGGTTGAAGTTGTTAGCGCTGTAAAGATAGGTAAATATGTTTAGTGGCTTGGGACTGTTTAGGTTACAACCCGTATTCACAATATTTTATAGTAACCGTTAAATTAATTTATTAGCATGGATGATTAGACAAAGGTTTCTATGTTGATTATAGATGTTAAATGATTAGAAAAATGCAAGAGATTGATATGGAGTCTTGTGTGAATCTCAGGTCTGTCATATTAATTCCAAAGGCTATTTTGATGAGCTGCAATTGGAAACAATCTGCTGCAAATATTCACATATTTATGCATGAATTGTATTTTTTCTCCAATTAAGACAGACTTCGACTAATAGAAGAGCTGTATTCATTATCATAACTTCGTTGTGAATACGGGTGTATTGCTGTTTTAGTTGATAAAAAATGAGTTTCGAAATTTTCCGCTACTTCGATTCGATAAACCGCTTATTATGCCGTTTATCGAAGGAAGTCGTTTCCTGTGGTCTACTCCGCACGATATATTTGGATTATTTCTTTATACTCATGACGAAATAAAACCAATATGTATTTTGTAATGTAAATCCTCGTGCCGAGTAGACCTTCCAATTAGTAACAGCAGCATTATTTTTCGCAAAGATTTTGCTGCCAGCTATAATGTAAATGCATGAAGGAAGAAAAATAAACAAAAGACACACACCAAGAACGTAATTTATTAGGCAAATTAGGGCAGTATGTACAAGCGACGAAACGCAAAAGAAAAAAAGGCGTGTCCCAAAACACAGGAGTGAACAAAATACGTGCTGAAAATGAAAATGCGAACTCGATCAACACACGGTGCAATAGATGGAATGTACTTAACAAAAACGAAAGCTGAATTCGTATCGAGAGCTGCGTGAGTGAGCGCCCGAGCGTGGCCAAGCAAATAGGGCGAGAAAACGAGCACACGCCGATCCAAACATTAATGCCTCATTTAGCTGATTTCTTCATCACAACGTAACGTTTAGTTTTATGATAAACGTAATAACTGTTATTACAATGACGATAAATATGTCTCTGACAGTGTACAGAATCGTAGTCGTGATTCGTATATGAAGGCTATTTTTTGTTGCTCCGATTGATAATTTATTTCCACAATACTTATTAAAATTTCTTAGCATTTAGAGTTGCTACTCAAAGTAAATCAAGAATTTATTTTTATTATGCATTGTTTTAAAAAGTTTGAAGTTTGACGACTTGCAAAGGCATAGCGCACCGCAACAAACGCAGATTTCTTTTCACGAAATTAGTAGGTATTTAGTTTGTAAATGAACATGAATATTCAGTCGCACCGAATAGCGTTGTACTGAAGCGTGAAATAATCAGCGCTATTATAAAGCACTTTTCACATTTACCGTTCAATTATTGTTACTCAAGTTAGTAATAAAAAGTGGATGCTGTCAGTCGGAGCGGTCTTCCGGTGGGGTGGTAGTTTAAAGTGTTACGATTGTTCGTTATGCAATGCAGTTTAACGAATTTAGCCGATTACGATAACTGAACGCAAAACCTTACAAAACAATATCAGGATGTTCGCAAAAAAAATATACTCGTGCAAAAATAATCATGTTATAACAACTCAAATGAAAAATCAAACAAGAACGCTGCATACAGCACAAATAAAACCAGGTGAAGCCTTTTTACAAATGCATGCAGTTATGAACGTAGATTCATATTCACACTCATTACATGCTATTTTTTTTATAGATTTGTAAGACTTTAATAATCAATCTAGATTAATGAAAATTCAATGAGATATGGTAACAGAAACTCATTAATTATTACATTTATCAAATAAAGATAATACTACAAATGAGAGGCGAGATTTTTCGAATACCCAACAGATGCAGTTCGTAATTTTCTTTTTTCTTTATTAGGGAAAACCCACAGCTGTATGTTCATATGAAAAGAATCGTATTTTTTTAGCTTACAACTGATGTAATAAAACGTCTATAACAAACTAAGTTTTACAGGTCTTGCGTTCACACAGCTAAGCGAAGCATTAACATTGAATCAGGAAGCGGACGAAACTTTTCTTGTTACGGGTGTACCGTTTGAGCCTGTCTTGGACGGAGGATCGGGCGTTTTGGGCGTCAGCTGAGGCGGCTTCCGCGGCCTGACGTAGTCGCTTGCCCACGCCGGCAGCGTCCTTGCCTTTCCACCCGGGCCGCGGCCCAGGCTTATCATGCTCCGCTCTAGGTTTCCGACGCTCGAATTTGCTGTTTGTAGAATAACCATGCGTGAACATCGCCTGTCTGATTCTTTTAAAGAGATTCCCAAATAAGTGCGCGCGCGCAACAATTAAACTGTCGTAAAAAGGGCAGTTGACATTGACACCAAAAGTCAATTGACATACTTTTTGTAAGCTGTCAAAACCATAATTATCCTGACTGTCCCATGATTTTATACATTATGGCAACAGGAACTTAGGACGTCACTGATTTGCAAACTCAATTGACTATTTATCAATTTGAAAGCTACCAAAACTGAAAACGGTTTCTAGAGATTTGTGTTTTTAAAGGAGGTGCGCGACTTGTAATTATTTGCGAATGGAGTCTCATCCTGACTTTCTCTTATTTGAAACTTTGGGAATCCCTTTTTGTGACAATTACCAGTAGACAGGCGATTTTCAATATCAATACATAAATAGTAAATAAAATCCCTAAAAATATCAGAAACATAAATAAATTACATAATATTGTAAAAACCGCAGATTTCATTAATTAGTAGTAAGCATAAATAATAAAAAACAAAATAAATAGTTACGTAGATAGTCCATGCAATGGCTGCGTGCCCCGATTCTCCTGGTTTGCATCCAATCATTCCGTAGTCCTATAATATTTTACGTACCTGTTGTCCCATTCTCTGTTGTCTCTTCTATTGTCCCGATCTCTGGTGTCCCTGTTGTTGTATTGCCTGTGAGGCTGCGATTGGTTGGCGGGGGTCTCGTCCCAATCGTCGTCGGCGGCGCTAAAAGCCACGTTGTTCTCCCAAGGCTTCTGGCCGCGTCTAACCATCAATACATATTGACATCATGACGGATGAACGATGATGAAGGTAACTTGACAGCCAATAAGTGAAACATTTGAGAGCGATGTCGCAAAATGCCTAAAAATAGCCAAAAGGAATAGCCGATCGGTTTGTAATATGATGTAGCCCAACTAAAGGCCAGCTTTGGGGCAGGCAAAGACTTGATTGGACATCACACAGTTTTGACAAGTGAAACAAAAGATGATCGCCTATGATGAACGTTGATGAAGGTAATTTTATAGCCAATTGGAAACAATAAGTGATTTGTTGAGAGTGATGTCGCACTAATGGCCGAATGGAACGACCATTTATAATAGGATGGAATATGTAGCCCAACTAAACGTTTTGGGCACGCAAAGACTTCAGTGAATATCACGCAATTTTGACAAATGAAACAAAAGATGATCGCATAAGAACAGAACCTGGTATGAAGGAAGAATCTTGGGTACAAACCGGTATTGCCGAATAACACAAATTAAGCAGTGGATATCTACAGGCCGACATGTCGCGAAGGTGTTACGTTACTCACCTGTGTGTGTCCCGATCTCGGTTGTCCCTGTTGAATTGCCTAGGCGGTTGGAAGGCGGGCTTCGCAGGCGTTTCTTCCCAGTCTTCGTCGGCCGCGGGAGCGTGCGAGGCAGTGTTGTTCTCCCAAGGCTTGTGGCCGCGCCTAACCATCAATCAATATGATTTGGTCACGATGAACGCGAGAGGAATGGGTATAATGATGAATGATGCTTTTTTCAGCCAAATGGGATTCAATTTGTTCCATAACTAATATGGATAGTTAATTAATGAAAGGTTGCGTTCATTGACGCACTTTACATTCAAGATATCTTTTCAATAGCCCCCTTAAGATTATAACCATTTTTTTAGTTAGCAACATGACAAATATACGAAGAAGCAAAAAACGAAAAACAGCGAGGTATGGAGAAGGTTATTTTCAGCGACACCAACTCAAAATTAGGAAAACCATAAAAAGGGAGATGTAGCGCAACAAAAACTTTTTTCAGCAGAATAATAAAATTCTCAAATCATCATGCACTGCACAGCATCCAGCGTAAGAAGACTGTCCGAAGAACAACGATTTATATGGAAAGAGCCTCCGAAGGCTGATCTGATATTACTAACGCTGGAGTTGACACACCAATGTTAAGCGGAGGATTGGTACATGCTACAACGATGAAACAAATCTGCACACATCACTCACCTATTGTCCCGGTCTCTGTTATCCCGGTTGTTGAATTGCCTGGGCGGTCCGGCGGGTTTCGCGGGCGTTTCTTCCCAGTCATCGTTAGCAGGCGCGGGCGCATTGGATGATTTGTTCTCCCAAGGCTTCTGGCCGCGTCTAATCAATACATTTGACGTGGATCACAATGAACGCGATATAACTGGATGATGATGAATGATGATTAACTACTTTAGCTAAATGAAATCGGTAATAATCTCGCTTTGGGCAGCAATGTCACGTTCATTGGGAACCATGTCGTATTGTACAAAGGAGTTACCTATAATACACGTGTAGGTACTTGAGATCGAAAGTAAAATTACATTACCAGGGTATCACAAATACGGTAATTTACATGTGGACTTACTTAACAGGCTCCAAAAGCCTGTATTCCGTGTAATATGTTACTCAGAATCGAATAAAGGGCGGCATTTTGTTGTAGAACACAACATTTTGGTAACAGGATGGTTGCTGGGGATGAACCTAAATCAAGCGGATATTTACAGGCATGTATTGTCCCATCAAGTGCCCACTAACCTGTCCCTATTGTCCCGGTCTCTGTTGTCCCTATTGTCCCTGTTGAACTGCCTCTGAGGCGGCTGGAAGGACTGCGCAGGCGTTTCTTCCCACTCATCGTTGGCGGGCGCGGCGCTCGACGCGGCGTTGTTCTCCCAAGGCTTAGAGCCGCGTCTAACCAATAATTATAGACCATTATGTACGATGTACGAGGTAGATGATATGGAATTCGGTCGATGAACTGGTAATGGACGTTTTTGTTTTGGTATGGTCTGTTTTGAGATGCTTTTAGAGTAGAATGGTGAAGCGATTGCGGGTGTATGCTTACCACACAGACCACACTCCATTGAAAAAGATTTAAATCTCAAATTATTGTCTGTGATTTGGTGTTGTTCAGTAAAAAATAAAGTTTGGCTCAAAATAAATATTAAACATTAAAAATAATAAAACAAGTCTTTCGATTGATAAATGCTTGCAAGTGCATCAAGTTAGGAACACTGAAACTAACGCGTTTGACCAAAGCGATAAACAACAAATCTTATTAGACCGTATTCCGAAGAAAGGAAAAAAAACTTTCAGAACAAACGGCTTAAAAGTAAAATGTGTTCATTGCTAAAATGTAAGATTTCTACAATTAAATATTGGAGTGGTAGCGACAACGTTACAAAAACTTTGCGATATTGCGTGCACAGAGTAATTTATTTACTATGTATAATATGTATGTATTTAAAAAAAAAGTATATAAGTAGTATATCCGTTAAGCTAGCACCCATAACACAAGCATATTAATTGCTTACTTTGGGGCTAGATGGCGCTGTGTGAGATTGTCCAAAGATATTTATTTATTTATTTATTATTTATTTATTTATTGGAAGATTTACAGCTTCTATCGCATCTCAGCTCCGCGCATAATAATGCACCAACACTATTCCACGAAGCGGACAATAAACAGTTAGACGCGTGCGCATAAGTAATACTTGGCTGAGTATGCTGTACGCAACGATAAATATTGTTTCCATACAGCAGAAATAAGAATATGGTCAATGGAGATGGTGTGAAGTGGTCACACATTTGATGTTTCTTAAATAATTCAACTTGAACTAATCCTCATTATATGAATTATGTCTTACGTGTTAAAAGTGTGTTTCTGTACTTAAAGTGACATGCAATAAAATAATTTGAATTTAAAGTTTTTCAAACTCACCTATCGCCTCTGTCTGGCCTTCCGCCAAACTTTTCACTGTGACGGCCCGGACCGGACCGATCGAACGCTTCCTTATTGTCCCTGCCCAAACAAAACACATCATGGTGTTACCAACACTTCAGCTACACTCACAAAAACACACACGAACCTTTCCAAGTACCATTATCTCACTGATACGTTATTAAATGATATTAATGATGGATTACCTATACATTTTATGTGTAAGCACTGAAATCGCACCTCGACTAAATCCCGACAATGGGTTCAAAGAACCGAGACCAAGGCCAGAGCGTGAGTCAGGGCACAATTACCATTTTTTGTGTGAAAGCAAAAACTCCCGAAATATTCAAAGCCATAGCTATACATGGGAATAATGGTTCTAAAAGTATATTCTCTATCAGTTATCGTTAAAGGATGAATTTTATCAACCAGATATGCAGTTTATCTGTTTTCTAAGCGTAAGATACGACCGTTAGATAGACTGAGACCATTTCTAAATTTCCTCATGCATCAAAAAGAACCGCTAATTTGCTTACTTCGCATCGCAAACTCGCATCATAGTTTCTATTTACAACCGAAATAGTTATAACGTCAAATTGTATGTTTAGTGCAGTTAGTTGAGGTTATTGTTTTTGTATCCAATTTGTCGGTAGTATATTGTTTTACGCTAAATGAGTAAGTAAGTATGCAGATTGTCTAATATTAATCAACAGTTGTTATTAGCGTGATCTCAGTTTGTAGGGTCAGGGTTTGCGTAAACAAAGACTTCAAAGTTCCAAGGTCCAACATTATCTGCAGTTTAATTGCAACAAATATTTAATTATTTTGCACTGACCAGTATTTGATAAATCTGTTAATCCCACATACTCACGTAACTATATTAGGAAAGTGAATGACGCATACAGGTATCTTGCAATATTTGATATCAGATTATTCAACCAACATCTAATTTTGGAATACAATGAGTACTTAGTACCTATTTTGATTGAGAATGACGTGTCCCGTTCACGTCACTTTTATTACTTCCCCAATGTTTTAATAATGCTTGATACCCAAAACTTAAAGGCGTTTACTACTTTTACCTGTAATGATAATGTATTTTGATTGCCGTTTGGTGTAGTGGTTCAGAACGGACTACTATGCCGAGAGGTCCCGGGTTCGATTCCCGGCCGGGCAGAAATTGAAATGATGAATTTTAATTTCTGTGACGGGTCTGGGTGTGACTATGTATAATATTTATGTATTTAAAAAAAAGTATATAAGTAGTATATCCGTTAAGCTAGCACCCATAACACAAGCATTAAGTTGCTTATTTTGGGGCTAGCTGGCGCTGTGTGAAATTGTCCAAAGATTTATTTATTATTTATTTATTTATATTTATTTGATACTTACCGTCCTCGGAAGCTGCCTCCCCTATGACCGAAGTCTTCATTGCCTTCCCTCGGCGGTCTACGATCATCCTTAAAGCTTTTCTCCCTTCTGAAACTCTTCTTGCGACTGTCATCAGGTACGCTGCCTTCGGGCGAGCTGAAATTCTCCGGTGCGTCCTTTCGGATAGGCGTCGTGGCTTTAGGCTGGCAAAAATACCAATAATATGAGTCACACGTGAAATATGCAATTGGTAGAATACCTGACAGGTTTTTCGCATTAGTTACCAATGAATTACTTACAAATTGGCCTGCTCTTGTTGGATGCGTATTGCCAATTATTTTCCTTCGACGGCAGACGTTAATTTAACCACATACGGTCTGATTTATAGATGAGGCAGCTGAGACAAGAATATTTTCTAAAGCCTATCTATTTGTGTGTAAGTAAATATTTTACAATTCTCTAAGCATGGGCATAAGGCCTACTACATTTTAAAGGTGTATGTCTCAGACAGTAAATTTAAAAAAAGCTGTGCAAACACGAAATATCTGACAATCGGCGGTGATAGACAATACCATTATTAGGGCGGAATCTATACTTATAATAAATCTGAAACAAAAACTACTCGACGGATTTTAACGAAACTTGGTACAATTATTCTTCATACTCCTGGGCAGGTTATAGTATACTTAGGAGCAGAGTAGTGAAGGGAAATTTTGGGAAAACGGGAGAAGTTACTCCATTTTTTAAGCTTCCGTCGCGCCGTGCAGCCTTAATGGTTAAATTTGGAAGGGACGTAGCTTAGGTACCGTAGAGGTGCACTAAGAAAGGAATTCCCGAAATTCCCACGGGAACGAGAATTAGCGGGAAAATCCTTTTGTATGAAAAATCTAAACGGCGTAAGATAGATGAAGGGGGTAAAACGGGATCCACACGTACGAAGTCGCGGGCGGCCGCTAGTTCAAAATAAAACGTCACAAAACGTGAATGTGGTATATTAGCTACAAACGATGGCTCAGCTACATCTTACGCAGTTGTACTAAGTTCTATTTCATGCAATAAAAATGTGGTCTGTTGTGATATCGACTGTAAATTTAGCTTGCTGTCATACATCGTGTGCATTATCACTGCCTTGCCAAACTACTTGTTACGTTAACGGTACATGTGTTTCACACTTTATTGAATTACCTACTATAATGAAGTAAAATTGCTATAAATTCCGACCAAATGACGTCCAGTACTTGCGTTTCTTGAATATTTTATGATGTTCAGCCATATTGACTATTAAACTGGGCTAAATAATAGATATGACGTGTCGTTCAATTTTGTCCACGCAAGCAAGATGGGGACATTTAGGCTTTATTAATTTAACGTGTTATGACTAAAAATTCCCAGAACATAGAGTGCCATATTTTATTAGACACACATTTTTAACTTTAGTACATATATTTTTTTAAAATCATGTTTAGTATTCATTCAACAGACTGCTGAGCTGGAATATTGATTCAAAAATAAACTTCAGATACAGACTCGGTCAATTTTATGAACATGAAATCGGATACTGATTTGTCTTTCTGTTCATAATAATAGACAAAAACATATTTTTGTGGTATACAAATAATTCATAAAAATACCACTTACATTCCTGAGTTCTTATTAGTGAGGTGAAAGTGTTGATTGTTAGTGACATCATTAGCCGTTGCACAATGGATGCCTTACTGGCTGGCATGTAATCTGCCGTAAATATTAATTAAGCTAGGCAGTTTTTCACCAAATTGTTTCACACCAGTTACGAGTTTGATATGGAAAATGGTCAATTATTTAGTCTATGAAAAGGATTTCTTAAAAGTATTTTCAAGGCAAAGAAATATTTTTTACCAAGTTATTTTTATATCAAAAAGTTTTTTAACTTGGCTGTAAATTGATAAAAGTAGTTTTCTAGTTTTTCTTTTTTTATAATAATTTATAACAATTAACTTTTGTGTAGTCAGTTTATGAAGAGAAATACTAAAATTGAGATTTAATTTGAAATCTATACTAATCAATATAAATGCGAAAGTAACTCTGTCTGTCTGTCTCTCTTTCACGCCTAAACCATTGAACCGATTTTGATGAAATTTGGCATAGAGATAGTTTGAGTCCCGGGAAAGGACATAGGATAGTTTTTATCCCGGTTTTTGAAACAGGGACGCGCGCGGTAAAGTTTTTCTGTGACAGACAAAATTCCACGCGGGTGAAGCCGCGGGCGAAAAGCTAGTATAAAATAAATTGAGTTACCTCATGGTTGCTCCTAGGCTGTGACAACTGGTTCATCTTCCTGGCAATGTCCAGCGGTGGGCTGACGGTGTCGTCTACCAGGCTGACCAGCATAGTGTCGTTGGACAGGACGCCCACGATCTGCGCCATCAAAGTCTTCTCCAGAGCCAGCATCTCCAGCTGGTTGGACGTCTTGGTCTCAACCGGTTTGTTTTCAAAGCCCTAGTAAAAAAATATAAATAAAACTTACTTTCCAATAACAAAAAAATAGCATATTTCTTCAGAGAGATGCTTACTTTTAATGCACACTTCAGGGCTTGAGCGGGAAGCTTTATTAGATCCGGAGTGATTGTTCTCAGATCAGAAATCTCGATCTCCTGCTCATTTCCATAGTCCACATAAACTACAATCACTTTTCTTCCCTTGGTGTCTCTTATCCTTGCTCTGTACCAGTTGTCATCGTCAGGGAATCGGGCACAGCATGCTGCACCCACTGGCAGCTCTCCCGGAAACGAGGTGCTCTCACAATGAACCTTGACGGCATCCATAACTGCATTCAGCTCATCAATCTTGTCTGATAGTTGAACGTAAAACTTGATACAGCTGTCCACATAAGACACTAGCACCGACTGCCTCGTTCCCAAAGGAAGCATTCCCATCCATTTAAATTGCAGCTTATCTTTCATGTTCGCCATCAGCAAATCCAAAACATTCTTGTTGTCTAAATACAATTCTCCATACTGAATCAAAGGTGGGCCCTCTGGTGCCACCACCCTCAAGGTCAGGACCTTTCCATTCACAAGCTGCTTAAATGTCTCATTCAAATGGGGACCTTTTTCCAATTTCTTGACCCCAGATAAGCAGAATCTCATGGCAAAGACATTGGGTTTCACAAACTCCTCTGGGATATCAAATATGTCATAGTAAGACACCATCTCTGTGTCCCCAAAGTCAACAAAGAAGAGTTTACACTGAGAACCAGACAAATTCATGACGATTGCCCTGCAAATAATTCTGTCTCCTGACATACGGCCCAAGCAAACCGTGCCAATCATAGGGGGCTCAGCGAGACTGCTGTGTGGTCTCTTGTTGATGTCATCCATCATATTCTGTAGCCTTTGAGCATCGGTTGCAAGCTGCACTGCAAATAGCTCAGGGCCTTCTTCAGCAAATGAAACAAAAACTTTATGCTGAGAATTAGCTTCTAGCAGCCTGCTCTTGTAGGTTGCGGACTTTTTAGGGGAAGCCGGTTTCGCTGTGGCCAATGCTACAGGGGGAGGCGGTGTTAAAGGCTCCGCAGCGGCAGCAGTACTTGCATGTTGTGGCTGGCGGCTTGGAGGTCGAAGGTTCACTGGGTTTCTTGTGGCCTTATTTGTCACCAACAATCTCTGACTAATCAGTGATGGCGGAGGTATCGATCCATTGAATGGCAAAGAAACATTCTGTTGTAAGCGCATTGCTGATGCTGGATTTGAAGGAAAATTCTGATTAATCAAAAATGGTACATGTTCCATATACAAAGGTGATTCAGACGGATAAGTCGGCTGCCAGTTGGGTATTTGTTGGTTTTCACTTGTCATCTGCGATAGCAGCACTTCTTGCTTGACTATTGGCAATGCCACTCCGAGCCTGTTGGACACAAGGTGCGTCGACAAATCATTCCCCTTGAACTGTATCGAGATTAGAGGCAGCGATCTAGTTTGCGCGTCCACCGTGGCAGGGTACTCGTTGTAACACAGAAGACTTTGTAATTTTAGCAACAGTGGCTCCTCCCATCGACCGGACGGGTGCATGAGCCTAGACAAGTAGTAATCTGTGGCTTGGCCACGCAATTGCAAAAACATTGGGTCATAGCTGTCTAGAAATCTGATAGTACTCAAGGATATAATATCTTTGTTACCGTAATCAATGAAATATACTCCGACTAATCCGGTGGCAATATTAGTAGTGCTTACTATTTTCGCCCGATAGTACGCACCGTCTTTGTATTTCGCGGCGCAAATGACGCCCTCGTGAATGGCCGCTGGAGAAACTGTACCTACACCCTTCTCCAAATTTTCGCGAGCAGTTTTGAACAGGCTTTCTACCATTAACGAAGATGGTTGGTCAAGCTGCCCGCTGACCCTCAGGAAGTGGCCATCTCCATCCACATGGGTCACGTAAAGTCGAAAGGATCTCGGAATTTCAGTAGGCACAGCCATGATTCTAAATAATAAAAGTGGCACAATAATGAAGAAAAAAGAAGTCTTATAATTCACATCACTTGTTTAGAAACGAACGTTGAACGTCGTACCAACTTTTAATCACACTCAGTCAGACTTACAAAAAAAATACCGCTTTCTTTTGTTTTCAATAAACATGGCGCCTGAAAACCGCTTTTTCGTCAAAATTACACTTCCTATTCAAAAAAAGTTCAGCAATTGGTCAAATCTATTGTCAATCAATCTTTTTTTTAAATGTGACCAATCAGAACGCGCGATATTGAAATATCGTGTTTATGATTTGTCAAAGGTGCTTGTCAGTGTAAACCACAGACTATAGATGACCCACGCTGAACTGTCCCACGAAACTCAATGACAGGGGGGCGCTACCATCGTTCAACTATATGGTTTCCAACATGGCAAAAATCGGAACCAGCGATCCGGTATTGACGGTGGCGCCCCGCTGTCAATGTCATGCATAGGACAGTTCAGTATTTTGGAACTATATTTATTATTTTAGGTCGTGTACTCACTATAATACTAATCGATTAAATAAACCGCACTTTTTCTAAGACTTTCTTTAAAGGGTCACCTCTATTCGGAAACGGAAATGAGCTAGCAAAAGCAATTTTTGACACTTGACAAGAAAAAAAATGTTGACTAACAGCTGTCAAAATAATAGCAAAGCGAAAATGCGGAATATTTTTCTTTGAAAATTGACAATGTAAATGATTGTATTGATTACAGCTAAGAAACACAACAAAAATGATCGAAGCGTGTTCAAAACGATGCATGTTATTTGGGACAGTGTGCATGGGAGTGTAAGTTTTTTATAAAACTACTGTAACTTTTCATACATTTAGCAATAAATGTGTAATAATTTTGTTTCCTTTCCAGCTTAACCATTGTAGTCCTCATATTAGAATCACAGTTAGCTGATACATTTTCTGGCAGCCAGCGAATGAAAAACAAAACCTTTCCAACTGAAAATAATTCAACATGTTGGGTGCACCAGCCATTTAAAATAATTAGTGAATGTCACCCTTGCTCAGGTAAACAACTATTTTTTTTTATTTTTTTTGTTTGGATCTTGTACCAAATAAATTATTTACTAACATATCAATAATATATCAGATGTGTACTTAGGAATAACAAAACATACAAAAGTAGGTATGCTGTAACAAATTTTCTAAGGTAACTTTATTCTGTTTAATTACAGATTTCGAAATAAGAAGTAAGAGCATAGGAGTATGTATTCATACAAGTTTCAAGGAGATATTGAAATGTGAAAATGGTGAAACAGTTACTAGAAGGTAAATTTTACATCATGTTTTCTTAAATGACATCTTTTCAGTTACCAAATTTATGATCAATGTAATGTCGAAATCAAAGAGGTAATTTCTTAATATGATCAAATTGATAAATTTTTGTTTTTATTTCATTTTCAGTTGTGACAGAGTGGCCTATTTAGAAGAGAGAGCATATTGGAAGTTCACAATCTGGTCTTTTATCATAGGCGCAATATCTTCTATAGCAGTTATGTTAAGAATGAGGGTCCTAAACTACCGAGCCAAAAGAAGAGCTCGACAAATTCTAAGCAATGGATCTATTTAAAGTAAAATGGTTATTATAAGCATAAATTATTATTCTATTGTAAATTGTAATGCAATAAATAGTGTATCATAGATATAAAAGTATAATTTCATAATCAATCAAACAATATTTTTAATAATTCACTAATCACTTTAACATTAACACTATTGCCTAATAACCTGTAGCATTGTTTTATGGTTACTGTTTGTGGGAAACTATAGTCCTTTGGGAACGCCATTAGGGCTGATATCTCTTTTGGAGTGAAAAACCTTAATTTAAGTTCTCTCATAGTTTGTATGAATTCAGGACTACTGACTTCTGATGCATTGGCCTTTTTAAAGCACTCTTTGACAGTTTCTCTGCTTGCCTCTGTAAACACAGAACCCGTTCCTTCCATGTAATGTGAGTAAGCTTTTGTGAAACAACATGATCTTCTCGAATCCCTATGACATATGTCCAGAACGTTAGCCCTTCGTAATTGTTGATCATTTAATAAGAATTTTTCGGAAACTTCATCCTCCACAATGCTTTCTAAACAATATGGGTCACTGAATGGTCCTGGAAGGTTCTCCACCTAAAATTATTGTATAAATTAGTATGATTTATTAAAACAACTAGGTATGATAATTCAAGCAACTTTTTGATAACTTACTATTTCTGATTGTGGTTCAAATTTCCAAGGGTCTTTACTTCGTCTTGCTATGCAGTAGTAACGAAGCCTAGAATTAGGCATTCCAACAGAAATAGGATTGAGTAGAAACTCTTGCAATTTGAAATTGCACTCTTGTAGTTTGTTAATAAAAATATTTCTCACTATAGAACATTCAAAACCTTTCACGTTTTCCATTAAAATGTATTCAACTGTTTCAAGTTGGTCTAGAATATTTATAAGATAAAGGAAGGAGTCTGCTCTAGTGTCGTTGTCGTCTAGGTATTTACCGTTCCTTGTAAATGGTTGACATGGGGGAGACATGAGAATAACGTTCACATTATAATGGGCAATCTCTGTTACTGACATAGACTGAATGCTTCTGGTGATCTGATTTGTGCTGGGAAAGTTATGCCTGTACACCTCATTGGCAACTGTATTTATGTCTACTGCAGTTACTATTTCACCATTGAGACCGGATTCTGAAAATATGTATTGATGTAATCTGTGATATTGGAGCTTAAAAAAGTGTATGTGATCAATGATAATATATATTCTTTAATATCATTGATGGTAGTAGTATGGATTTCAAAACTTCAGGAAAAAGTTTATATCTGAAAGTTATATCAATACAGTAATTTATTTCGGGCACATTAAGAATCTGATAGTTTTCTATTTTCAAGATTGGATTAAAACTCATTCAAAACATGCTTGCTTACCATTCCAAGCACAATGCATGCCCCCAATTCCACTGTAAAGTTCTAAAATTCTGTGATGCATTTTCGGTTGGGTATAAAATAATAAAAAGGTCAATTTAATTAGGATTCAGGGATTTTTTGAATTGGATAACCTACAAAATACTTTGTTTATTAATTAATTCATTCATCGGGTCGAGGAGTACTATACGTCAGCAGCAGCAAGCATATGACATTGACAGATGATCAGAGACAAAGACAGATTTTTTTAAAGAAAAAAATGTTTGTCATATCTGTGAACGACTAATCGATAACTCAATTGAATCATATGAGATATGGATTAAACATTCAATTGTATGAGATTACCATCCAACTGCAAAGTAATTCATGAAAAAAAAATTTACTATCATTTATTAAAAAAAAATTAGTCATGGCTGATTCACAGATGGGTAAGGACGTGTCAATCGTATTGGAAGACGGTTATTCCGATTCGAAAGAACATGTTTATCTCGAAGAAACATTTTATATTCTATCTAAAAAGAATTCTGTGTTCCGTGTTAGGCTTACATCCAAAGGATTGTCCTTAACAAAGGAGTCTGAAGGTTGTAAAAAAGAACAAACGATACTGTTGCGCGATATCATAGGCAGCAAATGCATGAGAAGCAAACGTCGCCGCCCCGGAGCCAGTTCCTGTGTGTGCAGCTCATTAGTTGGCTCCCAACAGCTGAAAGTGGTCGATGAAAACAGCGGGGACTTGGACGAGAACGATATCAGCGCTTATCTCTACATTTATGCTTACATCCTGAAACAGAGTCGTCGTACGTTGAAAAGGGAGAGGACGACCATAACACTGCGGTTCAGGTCTTTCGATAAGTATGAAGACAATAATAGAGAGGCTCAAAAATGGAGAACGACTTTGAAGTGTTTGATAGCGGGTTTGTCGATCACGAGCGTGCCGCCGCCGAACGATAAGAAGTTGTTGATACTGTTGAACCCTAAATCGGGGTCTGGGAAAGCTCGGGAGTTGTTCCAGACGAAGGTGGCTCCGTTGCTGCAGGAGGCCGAAGTGCCTTACGACTTGCACGTGACGAAGTATGCCCAGTACGCGCGGGAGTTTGTGCGTACGAGGAATGTGTACTCCTGGCGCGGTGTGGTAGCGGTAGGAGGCGACGGCGTCCTGTTTGAAGTTCTCAATGGCATGTTCGAGCGGCTGGACTGGCAGCAGGCGCTGGCTGAGGTGCCCCTGGCCATCCTGCCTTGTGGGTCAGGGAACGGACTCTCAAGATCAATCTGCCATTTGTACAAGTAAGTAAACACTCACCTACATCTAAACATTAACATTAATATACTTACTTTAAACTTATTATTTATATGTACACAAATATTCAAACTAGAATCTCTTAATCCATCTTAAATGATTCTAATTAGATAAAAAAACGATTTCAATAATTTATTTTCAAAAGGAAAATTACTACTAGGATCCTGTTATCTGTTAAAAACCTCAAATGGTTTTGAAATCATGCATCAAGGCTAGAAATTATAATTGAGATATTATCAATCAATTACCTACTAATCCTTTGATTAATCATTATTATTCATATCACTTATGTTCAGTTCACTTTAAAACTATGGTTTGTTTTGCTTAGCTTTTATATTTATTCATATGTACGCTTTGCTGTTTTTAAGTTTACCTGAGTATAATTTATTACTTCCCTACCTATAGTTATATTTACTTAGTAAAATGCCTTGTAAACTTGAAAATAATAAAATAAAATTCAACTGTAAAATGCTGGAAATACATTAAGTTGGACTACATTAAAACAATAACTACATAATTATTATGTAGACAGGTAATTTATTAAAAATATTTTATTATTATTGTAGACAAACTTGTTTTGTATCATATCAATATAATAATGATATCTCATTTCTATTATCTTGATTGGTAAGTCCTTCGTACATTCTCAAAACAAAAAATAAATTAAAAGCAGGTCAATTAAATTAAATTATTGAGCAGTAATTTGGTACAAACATTTACTATACAACTGCCTATGGTCCCCTTGGCATTTACTTCTATTTTATTTTATTTTCCTTTTACAAGATTGCAACAGTGAGTCATAAAATAGGCAGTGTTGCAGTTGCAACTTGCAGTCATTGTTAAGACAAAGGCATTGAAGATTAAATGAATGCATTCAGACAGATGATTATCCTCTTAAGAGGTACAAAGGACATTATTAGGTTGGTATTTAATTTCACTGCAGTCTTCTATGCCCAACTTGCGTCACTCTCTTGCTTTTTAGGGTACATTAACAATGACGCGTTTGACATTAACTAAAATGCTGAGAACTTGGTTAAAATAGCTTAATGTCCAACGTCATTAACTATCCTAATTAACCGCAATTTGCCACAAAAACAATTCTACGTCTCGGCGCGAGCTTGGCCGTAGGAGTTGCGGCATTTCCGTATTTTCGTCTTATAATCGTTCATAGTGAGAGTAGTAGGTATGGGCAAAAGCGTCAGATACGCTCGGGAGTAAGCCTACTGATTTGCTAAAACGTTATGCAATGCTGTCTCCCTTACTTGGAAACGTTTTTCGTCTTTTTTTACGTATGCATCTAATGCACACGCTAGTTTTCAGGGTCATACCTACTCTAAATTCGTCCGGTGCCGCCGATTGGCGCCAAAATCCTTGATCGTAATAGTTAACTTTCATACGTTTATTAAAAGCAATAAGAGTAGCTATAGTTTAGCGGTTGGGCCTAAATTCACCTTGTGTAACTTCAGTTAAAAACATGCTTGTGATGCTGGTGTATTAATCAACGACATGCTTTTAAAAAACGCGTAAAGCTTTAACAAATGTAAAAACTCAATCAATAAATAACATATTTGCGCCCATTGTGGTACGTCGTACCTACGTCATTAAAGACAAACAACATGATCATACTGCAATATTTTTGACAATTTTTACAATACAAAACAATGTGTCCTCTTTAATATTCGTTCAGCCTCAAAATTATTACATTTGTGGTTCTATTGTTATGGTTTTACCTTGAGAGTGGAACTAAAATGATTACAATATGTATTATTTATTTCTAGTAAATTTTTACCAGTTGTTTCATGCGAAAATTCAATTCCAAAATTTATTTATATTACCTATCTAAGTCAGGTATAATATTAAATTCGAACTCCTCCTCTGTTCTTCGAACTCCTCCTATGTTCTTCTGATTAATTTCGTTGCGTCGTTTTGTCAGTCCAATGACATTTTAACTTTCCCCCGAGACAAACTTGACCTTCACTGGTTGGGTTTTTATTGGCGGTCAAGCTGTAGATCCTGGCTACACAGGAGTTGCAGCGGTGGGAATGAGAGGTGGGAATAGTCCCAAGGGAATATTGTCATTTGTCTGTAAAAATAAATAGATAGTTTGGACTGTTTAGCAGTGTCGTATAGTTTACGAATCATCGTCATTAATTCATTATAGATTACTTAATGTGCTTAGATTAATGTGCTATTAAATTCGAAATCGTAATAAAAAGGCCATAATTAAAGTTTGTCCTTATCTATTCTATCCTAATCGTGATTAGTGAGGGTCGTAATTAGATAAAGCGCAATGGAATGATTGTTTGTGTTACAATACAAATTGACACTAAGATTATTACAGTTATGAGTTTGTTTACGAGTTCTTACCTATTTTCACCTGGGTAAACTTCCATTCCAGTCAATAGACACTATGTTACTGAGATATTGGACAGATCTTTATTGAATTAAAAATAGCATTTCTATTACAACAACTACGAGATTGCGACTGATGGAGATAAAAAGGTGATAAGTTGCAATTTGCATTTGAAGTAATATTCATTATGGACGTTCAAGGGGTGTTTTGTCCAATGACTGGAAGTTTACCTATTATTATTCTAACATTCACCTGATGGGATTTTATTAAATATTGGTATTTTTTAAAAAGATCAAGCTGTCTTATTTATCCTCCAATAATCACGCGAGTTAATGTCTCCCCGATTATGTGCTATCAATATGTTTTGGTAATTTGTTTATCGTGTCGTCTACTAAATTATTTGAGTGTTTTAATACAGACTAAGTTTGAAATAATTCGCTGTGGTCATGAGCGTCCTCAGAACTCCAGATTCTTTATTTTTATCGGTAGTGTGAGGCAAATGCGATTGGATACGCGTTTTCAGTTCCACCACTTTGTGCGTCAATTTCTTGTGATATATGAATGGTTAGGAGTATTGTTTTCACAATAGATTTTTAAGAAATAACATAATGTAACCAAAGAACCTCAAGTAGGTACAGACGACAGCCACGACTGACGACGCACAAGTTTCATGTCCTTGTATTTTATCCAGAAATGTAGGTACAGGGTGGCCCAGAAAGAAATTCACTTTTGAAAATTCAACGAAAAAAATTCTGTGTAACTAATTTTGTAGAACTTTATTCATTACAATTCAAAGAAAATGAAATGAAAATTAATAAATTTACCTTCATTAAATTACATCGTCCAGGAGATTTCCTTGACGCTTTCAACATTCGATCAACATACATCAAAATCTTGAAATGCGTTCGTCAGAATTACCTCGAAACCATTATTTTTTCCAATTATTTTCCATTTTTTGCCGAATGCTCAGCTTCAGTTGCTGCATGGTTGTTGGATTATAAAAGTATACTCTATTCCTAAGGTAACACCACAAAAAGGAGTTTTCTGGAGTGAGATCAGGGCTTCCTGGTGGCCAGGAGATGTCACCCCTGCCTAAATTATTTTTTTTGTGGGAACATGTCTCTTACAATCTAAATGCTCTCATTTTGAAGTGTGACACGTAGCCCCATCTTGATGAAACCAAGTGCTCCTGTCATAGCCTTGCGAATCTTGCCACTTTGAAATCAAAAAGCTTTTCAGCATGCCAGTATAGCGCACCCAAAAATTAGTCATCCTTCCGATGCAACAAACCAATTAAGCAGGGGTGAAATCTCATTGCCACCAAGAAGCCCTAATCTTATTCCAGCAGACTTCTTTTTGTGGGGTTACGTTATGAGCAGAGTATACTCTAATTATGCAAAAACTCTGACGCATTCATCCATCCTGAATCCATTTCGAGGTAACTCTACCGAAAGTTTTCCAAAATTTTTATGTATGTTGATCGAATGTTGTAAACGTCAAGGGAATCACATGTACGATCAAATTATTAAAATAAAGTAATTTTAAAAATAAATTGCACGAAATTTCCTTTAAATTGCAATAGTTGAAATTCTACAAAAAATGTAGGTACAGTTTTCGTTTCCTTAAATTTTCAAAAGTGAATTTTCTTCTGGGCCACCCTGTATATGTATTTAGGATGTGCAGTAAACTGTACGAGTTAGTGATAATTTTTAATTCGGAACATGCATAAGAAAAAAGTTGTATTTTATGCATTAATCTTTATTTGACACAAAAAACATAAAAATAGGAATTGAAAACGAGAAAGTCAATTAAATATCAAAAACATACTAAAGTACTGCAGTAACTCAATGTTTTTTGTTTGCCAAAACTTTTTGTGATATAGGTAATCTTTATTTATGAAGATAATGTGGTATCAGTCGAAAACGTGTGCGTAATTATTTATCTGCGAGTTGATTTTTTTCACTGCCTTCACAAATTGTCGTCGTGATTATTTTGCTTCTTATGTTAGGTACCTACCTACCTTGCAGAGTTTACAGTCGTCTGTTGTTTTTCGAGCGACGTGGCAAGATGGCGACGTCTGGCAATTTAGTTATTATTTTAACAGCGGCAGATCATTGATGTCATTTGTTTGTCTTTGGTTTGACCCCCAATAGGTTATTTCTTTACAAGCATTTATTCAGAATTACGTAGATATTCTGTACTGTATGATTATGTTATTCGGAATACACGGATGACTGAAAAACCTTTGGATCTTCGTATATTTGAATTAACTATAATACATTCAATGCAGGCACATAATTATGATGCCCTTTCATTTGATAGGTAGGTACCCCTCTCGGGTACATTTATAGACATTTGGTTTTCCATCCCCACTTTATTACACCCCCCATAACTTTTAAACGATTTTCATCAAATATAGCTAAGAAGAACCACGAAGAACACTCGCGCTTATCGTCACCATAAACACAGACAAAAGTCATGATGCCACAGATAGATTATGCAAACAGACACGTCAAACTCTAAAGTTAAAACTTTAGTGCGTGCAATTTAACATAATCCAAGTTGTAAGGTAAACCGGCGACAGTAAAATGACTATGTCAAACTGTTTACTATGCTTGTTTCAGATTAATGATCCTAATTATCTCAGTATAATTCCGTTAACAATGCAACACAACTGGTACAAATATTTGAATAGTGTCAATTAAAGGGTCCAAGTGCAAATAAACACAACAATTAACCAAATCTAGGGCAGCCATGCGAAGTTGATTCGTCACTCGTCAATACACAAAGCAATTTAGGTTTAATTAGTCATATACAGTCAATTTTATTGCGAGGTAGGCAGTAGGACTTACAAAATGCGAACCATTGATTTCATCATTCGTCGTTTGCCACTTTTTACCTGTAGGCTAGGCACTGCCTAATTGTCTAAATACTTAGGTACATCCTAACTGCACTTCCTGATGTTTTGTCACGGACTGCAACGCCAGCCAGGAGATGTGGATATAAATGTTTAGGCACGGAATCATTATGCCCGTTTTCATTATCAATCCCTAATATTTAAGTGACCCCCATGAAAATAAAATTTCTGTTATGTGTTACCATAGGGGTCTCTTAAAAATTAGGGATTTATTTATTTATTTATTTAATGGTAAAAACGGGCAATAATCAATTTATATTCGCAAATTCAAATTCTATAAGTCTTTAGGTCCTTTTCAGTGCACTTAGCACGTCCCAAATATAGTTTCCCCTATTATTACGCTGCATGGCCGATATTTTGATAAAACCGGACCCTTGTATTTTTACAGTTCATCACACAGATAAGGAGGATTATCTGTCAATAATATATTCTTTGAAACCAGAGGAATTTTTTAATGAAGCTAAAATAAAAACTGTAACCTGCGCGGCCAATGTCGTGACTCGTGTCGTGTGTCGAGTTAGTTATGAATAAAAACATAAAATAATTTATTGTTTTAAATAAATACCATTTACTTTTTTGTTAATGAGTTTTCGATATTTACTTAGCTACAGTTGCACCATAATCACGGATATAATTTAAAAACATAATTAAATAAATTTTGAGCTCTATGCCAAGTCTTGTAACATAGGTACGTCTCGAAATCTGCGACATTTTTTTTGTCTTTTTGTTAACACTTCAAAAGACAGCAATCCTTCAAATTAACCACGTTCATTATTACTTGTACCACAGAACAGAATAATAACTAAAACTTTGTACAGTGAAACACCTGTTATTGTTGCTCTGCCAAGGTCGAGTTGAGTAATTTTTTTGCAAATTGTGTTGTTCTGTCTTAATTTTGCTTAAATACATCGTGCTTAAACTAAGTTATTTGAAATAATAATTTAGTGAAGAACATTTAATTTAGCAACGACTTCTGCTAAATTATTACTTTATGATGTACAAACGGCGTTGATCTCAATGTATACCAAGTACATACCTAAATCCATAAACTACTTTACTTGGGCTGATGTTTTAATCGTCAGATATCTTTTAACTGAAAATAACCTTGTCTAAAAATATTTTTTCAAAGGGCTGTAAGCTTGTACAAAAACAAAAGAAATGTTTATTGTTTTTAAAAGAAGCAACCAAACTTAAATTCTATGTGTAATTGAAGATTTAAAAACAATTTATTTGTAATAGTAGACTAGACATCCTTAACACCAATGGACACATTGATAACACTGCACAACAGCATTTCTGATGATTGGGTTATGTTACATGATTGTAGTCTAATTTTTAATGACGATTTCAAATCTGTGATTTAAATGTCTGTACCAGCTCTGGTTAAAAAAATATGACACTTGGGTCTTTTTGTAATAAAACACTATTTTTTTAGAGATGATCCTATTTTATGAAGTTGTTAAGTTGAAAAAACTTTCTTTTATTTGACTTTCTTGCTGAAGCTGAAGGCAGAGAGCTCTTCTGAATGCTTCAACAGCAGTCAGCTATCATGTGTGCATTCCAGTGGCCCTGATAGCGTCCCTCTTTCGTACGAAGGCCCTGGTGGATTTGCTCGCCATGTTCATCACTTAGATCCTTAAGAGTTGTGAGAAAATTGTTCAGTGGATTGAGAAGAGAGTGTAATTTGATGATTTTATTACATTCAACCAAAAAAACATGTTGTAAGTGACTCATACGTTGTTCGATGTGTACGAATAGTAAGATTTTTTCAGATTTTCCAAAAAAAAAAAATTGATATGCCAAAATAACTCATTCCATGTCTTTTCTGAAGACTTGAAGATCCTAGATCTCTGAAACGGTCGTTTAAACCATATTGGCTACATGGTTTTGAAATTTTCGGGTTACATTCAAAGTCTCTGCCACACTGCCAGTTTTCGCCTCATAATCCTCCTGTGAAGTATCAGCATGAGGTTCAGGTGACTTCTTAGGGTTGAAAAGACGTCTACATGCCAAACGTATTCAAGGAATTACTATTTAGTTCATTTTTTTTTGGTTAATACCATTTCTGTTCAAAAATAAAAATAACAGTCGTCGCTATGGTTCAAGGGTTCCTTTCAGATCATAGCGGTTTCGTACCTAAATCTACACATATTCTTATTTGTTGACAAACTTAAAAACTCAACGCATCTTTTCCACGCCTTTTGCGGAATTCAATGTTTATCTTTCATTTCCACTGGGTCCCCAAACTAATTTTTGTAAGCCAATTTTACGAACTTTGTCACATTTAAACGGATTATTTAAACATATCCTCTCCGAAAATGAAACAAAATTGATTTAGATCATCTACACCAACAATTCTTAATGCTACCATATAAAATTATACAAAGAAACCATAGTATTTTTTTAACTGTCGGCGAATTAAGATTGAAATTTAGCAATTTTTGAGGTGAAAGCTATAACACGTAAACAAGAGCTGCTACGAAAAAATGGACGGCAGATTCATAATCAGCGACGTCAAAATAGTAAACATCATGTAATGAAAGTCAATCATCAGCCAAAAGTTGCAATTTTGTTGTGCAGTGTAATTTATTCCAAATGATACCTAGTCCCAGTTCAAATGTTTGAACTGGAATAACCTGAACTCGTAATGGATATTAAATTATTATCTGCAATTATTGCAGAAACACCGGTTCTCAAGAACCACGACCACGTCCCTATGAATATCGTATTTGATAATGAGATACACTACCTACTTCTACCAATAACATTTTTAATTAACAAATCAAATACATAGCATGCGCTAGATCAACTCAAAATGACTTGTAATTTTGTTTTTCAGTTGTTTTCAAAGTATTTTGCAATAACAAAATATGAAACATGTGTTTATTTTCATTTGTTTTTTTTTCAAGTTTTTATTGTTATTCATTAGTCTACTTCGATTGTTTCAGTGAACCATACATTCCACAAAACCTGACGGGGCAGGCGATGGCGTTGGCGCGAGGCAAAGTGGCGCCAATGGACGTCGTCAGAATCGAAACCAAAACAAAAGTGAGTATTGATTTGAGAAAGTATTGGACATAAACAGTTGACTGCCGTTTTACGCATCGTGCGTTTCCGTAGCTGGCAGAAAAAAACATTATCTTTTGGTTGACTTTTTATTTTTTTACGTAATATCTATCTAAGTATGGCGGACGGCATTTCAAACTTTGGCATCTTTGAAGACGTTTCCATATAAAAGAAGAAAGAAGTTAAAATTTTAATGATCTAAATAAAAACCAACGACACGATGGCATACGTGGGCTTAAAAACTTATGGTAGAATAAAGTTTGTACAAACTTTTACATCTTAAATTCTTAATAGATAGGTAGTAGTTTTAAAATATTTTCCTTATGGGTAATTACCAATTTTTTGTGCATGGCTAGTTTATGTAAGCTACGGGTATGTACTCGTTCATAGGATTCCATGTTTTTGTAGTCAATATAGGCAAAAAATATATTATGGCTATTATCTACATACAAACGGATTTAGTATTATTTGATATGTAAACACCAAAGTAGTTTCTAGATTATTATTTTATTATCTCTTATCGCAATGCTGTGTAGATTTAAAGATTCGTTAATTGAGTTAGACTACTTATAATTTTTCTTTTAAATAAGTACCTAATACATATTTAATTACGACTTTTATTGGTCCAAAATAAACAGATTTTTTTTTAAACCTGCATTTCCTTTTTAATTACTAGTAGCTGATTGATAACTCAGGATTTTATCGCAAATACTCGTATTTGCCACAATATGAAGGTATTATTAGCAATCAAGCCATACACACAGGCATAGTGTGTAATCAATGGATTTAGAGATTAAATGATAAGAGCTACCTATCATTGAATGACGGCGCGTGTGTGGGTAACTTTACGATATTCGACTGGTCAGATTACACGCGAGCAGACACAACAAAAGGAAATTGTTTCAGAAAGCCAATCGGTAGTACGCTATCAGAGCCGTGTTTAACGTACTAGGGGCCCGAGGAACATAGGATCAAGGCCCGTTTCGTCTAAAAAATAGTCTTTACACTAGAATTTTTCAGAGACCACGTACAACTAGTGTTGTTAGTGTTGTATTTATATGTTACTGTTTAGCGTTCAGAGCAGACGAGGGACTTTTCGATCACGGGGCACAAGCCCAGAATTCCCGGTATAATGAATAAATAAATAGACAATTATAACTCAAAGTAAAAGTCAGTAAATTCAGAGTTTAGGTTTAGTTTAGTGTTATCCACTGCTAAATAGGCCTCCCCCAATGCTTTCCATGTTGCCCGGTTGGTAGCGTCCTGCGTCCAGCTACCTATATGTCGTCGGTCCACCTTGTCGGTGGTGGACGCGGACGTCCTATGGCTGAGATAATTATGATGATGATAATGATGATAGACCTCTTGAGATAGTAAACCACGCGTCTTGGTCCCATCTAGCATTAGACCATTCTGGGGAGGGCACGGGTCACCCGCCTCCCCCTTATATGTAGTTACGCGCACGCAGTTGACTGTATCTGGGTTTTTTTATTATTATAAAAAATGTGTAGGCAGTAAATAAAATACTTACGAAACGCCATATTATCGTCATAATCTTGTACGATTAGTCACCTCACCATTTAACTTTTATTTACATTTTGAACTTTGCTCAGTGACGTGGAGTTTTTTAAACTTCGGTCATGAACTCATGATGCGAATTATCTTATTTATGTTTTGGATCTATGTATTTATTAAAATTTGCATTATTTTTATTATCATAAAACTATAAATATAAATAATGACTTCAAATTAAAAATATAAGAAGAAACTTAAAACGTGTTTCTTAAAATTTGACATTCCAGCATGAAACTTTAACACCTGTTTAAACACACTTGGTGTACAAATTTTAATAAGATCGACATCATCTACATTATGAAATTGTGGGAACCGATTGGATGATAGTTTGTTTGTCAGCAAAAGGGTCACATTGAAGTTAGGGCTTGCGTGGGTCGACGCCAAATGTAGGTGTTATCTGTAATGTTAGTAATTCTCCGAACATGGTATAGGTACTATACTAAATAAACAGGGCATGCAAGCAATACATAATAAAGAAACCGTTAGTCTACCTTTTTTGAAAATAGCAACATATTACCAAAGTTAAGTTAATACACATGCTGACATTTACTTAGGAATTGTGAATATCCCGGAAACTTAGTTTGTCAGTGCAGCTAAGAAGCTGTTTACGTAATCGCAATAATATTATCTCGACACTTTCTCTTTATTTCTGAACTCTGTGGCTTTGTTGGATAACAGAAAACAAACTGCACAGTGCAGAACAGATGCTGCAAAAACATAATATGGCAACAGTGCCACCTGCGTAAATAACGATATTTTATGTAGGATCAAGAAGGTTTTTTATCTGAAATAACTCAAGACTCTTCGATTCAAATTCAAACACCCAATCATCAAACCTGGGATTGGTTATATTTTAGAAGTTGAAGTATTGTCCAGTATAGATTTATTTTTGAACAGAATACGGGTCTAATGCTTGAGTGTCCTCCACTAAAGACTCATTGACTTCTACCACTTAAATTACATAGGTATTTAACATTTTATTAACAATGGGTTGCTTACGACAAATTCCAAGATATTCAAGTATTGTTTGTTAAAATATAAAACGTAACAGCAGCATTTCCACGTCAGTTATTGCCTTAAAGGTAGGCTATTATAACTGTATTTTGTTTGTTATAACACAGAATACATAATAGAGTAGGTATTTTCCGGTTATCGCGTCAATGACCAGCGCAAGATTATATTATCCTTATTGAGGTTAATCTACAGTCATTATTGTCCTTGTTTGACAACTTGAACCGGACTTAGGTGTAGTATTACCATACTATCCGGTTTTTTTCGGACTTTGTGTCCAAATGTGCACTGTTCATGGGTCAGGATTAGGAATTAACTGTTCCATCTGCCAGCCATGGGGTAGTCCAATAATTTATTCTATCCT